CCCCCACTACCCCCCCTCCCTTCCACCCTGATTCCTTTCTATAAGCTGTGGCCGATGAACCCATTTCAAAGGAGGGATCTTGGTGCCCATATCAGGGGAATGAGAACATTTCAAAACAACCGAGGGGAGAAGGCAAGCTGGGAAACAGCTGCGGAGCCTGGAATAGGGGCTGTTACCTGTACGAGCTTTACAGTCAAACCCAACATGCATTCGTTAAGCCAGCAAGGTCTCCTACGACCTGCCGTACCATTCAAAGGAGAGTGAGGAGCCCCCCCCTTCTCTGCACTGTGGAACTGTCTCTGGGAGCCAACCTGTAGATCTTTTCAAAGGAAGCGTTTATTGAAAAAGCAAATGTACATTAGTATGATACACATTAGTGAGACCATCACATCCACTGTCGCAAAACAAGTCAAAGCAGAAGACAAGGGCACAGATCTCTCCAGCCCGTCTTCCAAGCATCATAAATGTCACCAAACAAACAGACTATGTTACTATGTTTATATTCCAGTTTAAAGGCAACGTAAAAAGGAAAAAGGCAAATTATTGAACATTTATGCTGGGGTTACTTAAATATGAAATGCATTTTTAAATGACGCCGTGTGATATTACCATTAATTATGTTCACTTTTTATTCTCAATTTTGTAAAAGAATAGCAGTAGTATCTTAATTACATTGCAGAAATTTACTAAATAAAAATGTTCTACAGTATGTAAATGAATAAATAAATAAAGTACTCAGAACAGTTTGATTTTAATTGTAAAGCTTAATTTCACTGATATTTATGGAAAGCATTTCACACAAAAAAAAGATACGTGTTTCAATCCTATAAGCTAAGTATGTGCAAAACCCATTAAAAACACAGAGATACTTATCTAAGTAGTATTCGATCATCAGTTCACCTATGTACAAAATATGAATATTTATTAAACACATTTTTGCTAATATATGCTTGTGTGCCCAGATTCTAGAATGAAAAAAGTAAATAAAAAAAAAAATCCATCGTTTTACAGGCATCGAACAACGCTATACTTCAGTGTGAATCATCATTTATGACGTGGTACTCAAATAGATATACCATATTACCACCACAGCCAATGAACTTTTAGGAAATGATATGGATAACTAGTCAGCCTGTAGCTCTTTTAAGGTCTGACAAATAGAATGAGATCATATATTCACAAGGCAAAATGTAGCCATGACTGCACAAGTCAACAATCAGCCTGTCAGCCTAATCTCCTCCAGTGTGAGGTTATGGGATTGTCAGTGTACCAGCAAAAAACACAGGATTTAATCACCTACCAACGGCAAGGATCTGAAGGCAACCCGTGTGAGACAAACCCCTGGCTGCCTGGAGATGGTGTTCCTTCATGCAAAATGTCAGTTTTACTTCGAGGGAGCTTTGTTTTGTCCCGTTTGCCCTCTTCCATGCTTCATCGCTTGCCTCTGACCCAGGTCTCAGAGGCAGAACCCATTTACCACGGCTAGGACCACTGGCAGGAACAGTCAGTAGGCTCCTGGATGGTGTAGGTCACCCAGGTGGAGTTGCCACTGCAGAAGAGCTGCACGGAGCGCTTCTGCAGGCCCACCTCGCGGCAGCACTTACAGAACCGCGCGTAGGTGTTGATGTTGTAGTTGTAGATGCTGGCCGACGGGCACTTTCCATCGCAGGACACAATGTTCACCTAGAACCAGACAGAGTGAGTTTAGGCGCCTACGTGGTACAGAAACACTGGATGAGTGATTGGGAAAATAGGCAGAATGTAAACAAGCACAAAACAAGGCTCACTCACCGGCCTGTTGCTCCGACAGTCATTTTTCCTGATTGTCATCCGGACGGTCACCTTCTGGCACGACTTCCCGTCTTCTTTGCCTGCAAGAGTACCGGCAATCCCATGAAGCAGTGCAACCGACAGAATTCTTTTCTGCAACATCGGGACCTTTACAAAATCATATTGGTGTCATTAGGATAAACTCTGCTGTCAAGTATACAGTAAGTATCATTCAGTGGCTTGTATTTAACTTCAAGAAAACAGATCTTACAAAAAGGAATATAAAAGAATTATCTAAAAGTATGAACAACGTAACGACAGCTACGAATGCCTCACACATTTCGACGAGTGTGCAACGTGTAAGAAACAACTCGAACTGGCAGAAAGCAGAAATGTTTCATTCTAACTTTGAGCGAAGTACTTCTAAATTAAAATAATTAATTACCAAGGTGAACACACAATGTTACATACATTGCCCTGGATAGAGAAATGTAGTAAGTAAACTGACAGCAAACAATATTTTTAGTATGTTGCTTTGAAGCCAGCTATTTTTTAACTGCGTAGAAATTGGCTGGAGTGCTTCAATTACATCATTTCTCTGCACAACATTCTGACTAGCAGAAAAGGAAATGCATTGCAATGTGTTAGAAACTGTTTGGGTCATCTGGCATGTGCAGCATTAATGCTGAGGAAAATTTCTGCGGGAAGTGGGCAGCCGCATGCACACTGGGCATGCATCAAGGCGAATCCGGGGTCAGAGGTCAACAACGACCTCCTGCCACCTGTGCCATATCACCCAAAGAGCCATGCTACGGACTTCTACTCCTAGGATTAGTGTCAGCACACCAGAAACGTGTACTAAATACATGCAACACATATCTACACAGATGCTCAGCTAGGTGGCCCACTACCAACAGTACATTGTTGGTGATCAACAATGCACTGCCCAAACAGTGCAAAATGGAGGAAGCTTTAACTGCATCGTGTATATTAACAGCACAGACTTCTGGCTAACAAAAAATGTCAAAATGGGATGAAATAAAAGGATTTCTAAATACTGGAGAACATTTAATCCGGTTGAAGTAGGGAGTACATTGTTGGTTATCAACAATGGTGCTGGCAAGCCTTGTTTGTCACATGATTATTCAGTCATCTGGTACCTCGTTCACAGTCAGTGCTAACTGTGGGAGTCAATGGGCTAACAGGGAATGGGAACAGGGACAATCCAGTACCTGGTGAGATTGGTACATGTTGGTCATCTTGCAAAATAACACAGGAAAATCTCAGCTGGCTGAGCATGGATGTTTATATGCTTTTCAAAGTTAAAGAAGTAACAGCAATAAAAATGTGTGTGGGGGGGGTGGCTGTGTTTTGTCACAAAGGCTTCATTTATATACATCTGGTGGACATGAGAACTTGTCAGTAAACAATCATTTATATGTATGAAAGTAAAAAGTTACTGATACTGATTTTTGGAAAAACTATATTATTTTGAGAATTTTATTGGACAGCGCAGTATGTCAGTGTTGATAGCGGGCATTTATGTTGTTAACGAATAAGAATTCAGTCTATCAAAATTTACACTGTATCAGTTTGATGTAACAAAATCGTTCATGCGCATTGTTTGTTTTTTAGTTCAAAACAAACGGTAAGAATTCCTTATATCTGTTCTTCAAAAGCAACGGACAGAAGAACTGAGTCAGCTTAGAGTGTTAAAGTCTGCATGTTCTGTTCTTAATGCAGTGTAAAATGTTTTAGAAAGTATCATTCGATTGTGCATTTTGGTCAAAATAACAGACACCAGTATAATATTATATACGTCCATCTGAAGAAAACAAGCCACACTCAGTTACTCCGTGTGGCATCAGGAAGCTGCTGTTTGTGAATTATTTCATTGAAAAGCATATAAAATATAGTCCCTACAGCTAAAACTGTGCATACACATTATTTTGGGTACGACACAAAATTGCAGTGAAAACATATTTCAGTGGATTTTTAAAAATCAAGAAGCATGAAATTTTTGCCCAATTTAACATCCACTGACAAAAAGCTTTAATATATTTTGCTTAAAATGCCTGTTGGCACAACACGAAAAGCATATTTTTGTTTCAAACGTCATTAATTTGCAGGGAGTCCCACATCTAGCTCAAATAAATATTTAAGAATGTTTCGTATTTTGAAAGAGTTAAAAAGATTTCATGGTGCACTTCAATATACAGCAAGCAGTGAGGAGCTACAGACCTGCGGTCCTATCTGTAAGCTACAGTGCTTAGAGGCAGGCGGGGGGGGGGACGCTCGCCGCTCTACTCACATGTCCTGCAGCATCCGCCCATGTAACTCAGTATTGTGCCCCCGATCTAGGATGACATCACATTTGATGAGGAATTGAATCGATACAATTTGATACAATAAGAAAAACATTCATCAACAGAACTCAAGTCCACAGATTTAGCAAAATACCGGGCAGTATGGAGTGACCAGGGCTGTCAAATGGAGCCCCCAAGGAAAATGCATTCAACCTGCAACTGTTGGTTAAATTTGGCGATTGGAAATAACACAAAGGCTTGGCTGTGAAACTCAGCAGAGGTTTTTTTAACCAGGAATCTCCTGCTAATTTCTTCTCCCAGTCTGCCACACTGAATCCTGAAAAATGGGTTTTGAAGAAAATCAAAATAACCGAGATCTTGGGATCTAAGGGATTTTTTTCCCGCACTGCTGCTGATGGCTCTCGACTTGCTTTGTCTTTGCCCTAATGGGGCCGGTGACTGTTCTCAGGCACTGGGGTCCTTCTGTAGGGTGGCTTCAGGGAAGGCCTGACATGACACGCACCTTAATGCACTCCGACTCGTTGAAAGGGGGGCAACTGAAGGGGTAGGAGACCAGCGTGGGACCAGACAGAGTATCCGTACACTCATACTTCAGGCAGTCCGACACCCACGTCCTTCCAGGCTGAAAGTGATGACAATTAGCATCCTTCAGAACATAGGAAAGATCCTCAATTCAACAAGGGACTAGGCTTGCTGATTAACTAATGCCCTGGACCTTAAGTACGGGCATTTCAAGACCCAGTGTAGACCGTTGTATCCTTTAGAAAGATACTTAGCATAAATATTCTATTGTGCATATTCTATCCATATCACTTTAACTAAAGGGACTTACTAATATGGTATTTGTCCTTCAGCCTTACCTTGTACAATTCAACTGAGCCATTTTCATTTGTGTACATACAGGAGATGTTCTTGCAGAACCCACAGCATGTCATCTGGTCCTTTGGTGGAATGTATACCTGGTTCTGAGGGAGGGACGCAGCCACAGGATGGTTTTATGAGGCAACCATGGTGCAGGATGGCCAGAGGAAAGGGTGCGATTCATGACGGTCAGCGGACTCACCGGCTGGCATTGGGAAGAGCAGTTTCTGCTGGTGGCCCGTGTGCGGAAGAATCCTGTGGCTGTGTCCAGGGCGTGGGTGCACTGGGTGGTGTAACAGACACCCTCTGGGCTGTGTTCCACCAGGGTCTGACCCGGTCTCATCACGCCCCTTTCCCCATCCAAACACACCGCCTCCCGCTCTGAACACACAGACACAAACTCATTCCGACTGTCTGCGCCGTACTCATCCTCCCACAAACAGACAAACCACTGCGAAACTGTTAGTCAGTCAGCCTGACACCGTGAACTTTTGGCTGACGTAGCCGTCTGTGATGCTTTTCTCTGGATCAGGAAGCGTCTTTTCTACCCCACGTACCCTGAATGACCCACGTTTTCTCACCACACTTGTATCTTCTGCACCCACACTTGTTTCCCGGATCTGTGAGGAACACTCTGTCCACCTGCAAGGTCTCGCCCTTTAAAAAAAAAAAAAAAAAAAAAAAAAACAGAAACCATTAAAAAAAAAACTACAAAGAGTGAGGAAAAAAAAAAACACCAACCCTTGATGTTAATTAACCTACCAGATGACATTTCGGCCTGGGGATGGTGTCACAGGCACATTCTGGAAGACAAGATGGACCGTGAGTGTCGCCGTGGCCACAGGGCGGAGCGACGGCACCCCGAGGCGGCGAGCTTACCACACGTCTGCAGCGGACAGCAGCGCTCCGGCGAGGCCACGGTCACCTCAGACATACCAGGGAGGCAGCTGACCTTGGGACACCTGTAGGGCTCACATACTGCACAGATGGGGAGCCAAAACTGCCTTTAGCTTATCTGCTTTATCGAGTGACACAATCACTCAGATATCCTGCATAATATTTACTTTTCTACCAGACTGTGAGCACATCTGGAAATAAGTAAATAACAACGGTGCTTATTTTGGCCCCTCCCATTGTACTCTTGTACAATTTACTCAAACACATTTGAATTATTTGTACATATTACAAGCTTGTAAACATTTGCAGGTGTCTATGTGTGTACAAAAGAAGATTCTAGATCAGTGTTTCCCAATCTGGTTCTGGGGGACCCACAGACAGTCCACGTTTTTTGGAGCTGGGAGGGAGCAAAAATGTGGACCAGCTGTGGGTCTCCGAGGACCGGACTGGGATACACTGTTCTAGGTGCTCATGAGATGGCTGTAAGAGTGTTCCGGAATGACTGACCACAATGATAGGCGGGGCAGCAGCGTTCCGTGCTGTTGGTGTCGACGGTCAGCACCTCACCCTCCTGGCACTGGGGTATGACGTCCGCACATGGGCCGCACACTGTTCATGCACACACAGAGCGATGACTGACTCAGAGCCGACCAATGTGCAGCCAGACAGATGCGTAGCAATCCCACCCCATCAGCCTCCATAGCTAGAGGCTGTGTCTGCCCCCCTCCCAGTATCTGTGTCTGCCCCCACCCCCCACACACTCTTTGACTCACTCTAAGTAACTTGATGTGGATATGATCTCAAACAATGAGCACCATTCTCCCTTTACCTAGATATACAGCTCTGGCCAGCCATGCTTACACCAGGAGGGTGTGGGGTCAAAACTCACTGCATATGTAGGCCAGACAACAGCTCCCATCTGCCCGTGTGGCTATCAGGGTCTGGTCTTCCCGGCAGGTTGGGACATCCGACTCACAGCGGCTGGGGTCACATTCTGAGGGACAGTGTGGGGGCAGATGAAAAAAAAAAATCAGTCACAATCAGCTTTAAGATTTTTCATTTCTGGTTATCTATCTAGCGTCATGACTATGTGTTTAATACATGAGTATAGTGTCTCCAAACCTGGTCCTTGGGGACCCCCAGACAGTCAACATTTTTGCTCCCTCCCAGCTACTGTACGTAGACTGTCTGGGGTTCCCTGAGAACCGGGTTGGGAAACACTGAAATAGTATATACATATTAGCAGCTAATTATTGCCCATAGCATGTGCAGCATGTGCCTTTGTGTGTGTCCTACAATGGACTGGAAGCCTATGCAGTGCCACACAGTCTGCTGCTTGGAGTATGATCCAGGTTCCCCACAACCCTGTGCTGGATAAGCAGTTAGAAGATGGATGGATGGATGGATGGATGGATGAATCAATCGTTATACTACTGGGTCAGATGCTAATTCAGTCATCTACTCAACTACTTTAAAAAAAATGTTGTTGGAAACAGAAGCACTTACCACAGATGTAGTCTGGACAGCAGGAATCCTCCCTGAAGTAGGAGACCAGCTTCTCCCCGTATTTACACTGAGGGGGGTAACTTTCGCACAGAGTCTGATTGCAAACTGTGAGGGAGAAAAGACAGGGATGTGGCACAGGCAGTGTAACCTTAAGGCAAAAACCAGAGGAAAGCTTTGCGTTGTGTTGATCTTCACCTGAGAGGTGCACTACTACCAGACCCAGGATGTCACATCCGGTGCTTCCATGGGGCCGTACGGGAGTCACCTGGCACCTGTGACACTCTCTATGGAGTGCTTCCATGTTTCCGAGCCCCCGGGGGCGTCAGCTCTACGTACCGCAAGCCTTTCGGGGACAGCAGCTCTTGTCATCCGCCAGACTGACGGCGACCTCTCCCATCCTTCTGCAGACGGGCTGCGGGACGTCCGTGCAGTCATACTCCACCGGGACGATGGAGTCGTTGTCGCACTTGTACATGCAGCAGCCATCCCTGGAGGTTGTCCACACCTCCCCCAGGGCACGAGGGTTTCCGGAACTGTCCGTGCAAGCTGGGGAGTCGCGGGGGGAGCAAAGTAAATATAGTGCTTATGGAACGTTTTGCACCACTTGCATAATTCTGTAAAAATATTGTAAAATTATTTGCTTTATAACAGAAATCATTACTTTATTCATTTGTTTACAAAAAATATAAATCACATTCAATACAATCAGTAGTTTTAAGTAAAACATTAATTTCAAGTAATAAGTTGAAACCCAATGTTGCCTTTGCAACTTTGGTTGTTGGCACTTTATGTATATCACTTGTCTTGTATTTAATCTGTGTTTAATCTGGCCTGTATATTCTGTAAAATATATGTTCATTGCCTGTATATTGTCTGTCTAACTTGAGAGGCATCATCAGCCAGAACCAAATTCCTTGTGTGATTTAATATACTTGCCCAATAAATCAGATTCTGATAAAACACCAAACATTTGTGTTTAGTATCCTTTTGGGACCCAATGATTACAATTGCAATTGATAGCAAAATGGCAAGAACAGGACTGAATAAGTCAGTCAAAAAAAAATGACACCAGACGATACAGAAGATATCTGACAATGAACTTGTTATGAAAACAATAAATTCCCGTTTTTACAGAATTAAGCAAATGTGTCCCAAGACGTTCTGATCCTTTGATGTTGATGCTTTGAGAAAAGAATCCATATAGCCTGGCACCTGCCCCATGGCATCCCCTGGCAGCCTGGGACAGACTCCAGGCCCCTCATAACCCTGACCAGGACAAAAAACTGGAAGATGGATGGGTGATTGGATGGATGGATGGATGGATGGATGTGGCTATGTCCCATTAAAGCACTTCTGTTCCTATCCATGGAAGCAGATCATAAGAAATTTCATGGGTGATCTTCTGTTTTAAAGGATTGGTACTGAAAACACTATATTTGCAAGAGCAACTTTAGTAATTTAGTTTTGCATAGCTAAATGATCCGGATATCGGCACTGCTACGGATTCATCTAACTTACAGTCATGGTGTGGGTATAACACCAAGGAGAGTGTTATGGGGTGAATTTAGTGAAGAGCGAGGCGTACCGCACTTCTCAGACGGGATGCAGAGGGCAGAGTAGGGCCGGTGCAACACCGTGCCCTCGGGGCACACGCAGCCCTCGGTTAGGCCCGAACACTCTTCCGGTTCTGAGTCAAACTCTTGGTTGGGGCAGGATTGGGCAGTGCAGGCGGGCAGACAGCCCTGGTAACGTAGTCCGGGCGGACAGGCAAAAGCTGGAAGGGACACAGAGCTAGATTAGCACTAAACGACTGGAGAGAAGCCAAAGTTCAGCGCACTAAACGACTGGAGGGGAGACGGAGGGCTTACGGCAGAAATCCGGGCTCCTCCACTTAACACAGATGTTGAACTTGTGGCAGGAGGCCACGTACGCAGCCAGAGACACACAGGGGTTCTTTACATACTCCTCATCACGAACCCACACTTCGCAGAAGACTGAAGGAGGAACCTGTGAGTGACACACAGGAAGGCCACGCAGGCAGGTTTCAGTGCACCAAATGGACCATCCAAGCATCCCTGCAAAGGAAATATGCGGAGGACACGCATCTGGTGAAATCAGCGAATTGGGAATCTGGTGCCTGGGAGATCAAGAGGTCAGCAGACGTACGAAGGCGTGGCAGGGCCTGAAGGTGGAGTTGCGGAGCATGTCCAGGCAGCGAGAGCAGTCGCTGGTGGAGCAGTTGACCTCTCGGCGCCGGCTGTGGCTGATGTAGCTTGTGGTGTTGGGCAGCTGCCAGCTGTCAATGAACACTGCCGGGTCCTCGCCCTTGCCCAACGCGGTCCCATTGGACAGAGTCAGGTCATTGGCGGGGCTGCCGTCACAGCAGCCTGGTCGAAGAAGAAAGGCAAGCAAAATGAAACTTTTGTTAAAAAGCCCCTCGTTTTTCAGTGAATATCCATGTCTGGCAAGGGTTCCTACCACAGAGCCCCATAGTCGGCAGCTTGTTGTTGTAGCCGTCGGTTTCAATGACCATCATCCCCGTGCTGTGGAACCACTGCATCTTCAAGCCTGCTGGTGTCCGGATCAGATACATGTTCCCAGTGTCCAGGACTTCGAATCCGTTCTTCTTGAAGCGAGGCTTGGCGTACCGTGAATTGACATACAGCTGAGAGGAAATGACATGAAATTTCTTAAATATCTTAAGCACAGCTGATCTGTTTACATCCTGCTTGAAATTCCATTAGTGATACATAAATGACAAAAATTAGCTTGCACAACAGCTTAAACCACTAAATTACCGTGAATCAAATGTTCTCAGACTTTAAAGACCAAACACGAAAACGGAAACACCTACCCTTCTCTGGAGTCGGTTTACCAGAACTTGATGAGAGTTGTGCGTTATGTTGAGAGCGACCAGACAAAGATTGGTGAAGTTCCACAACAACTTTGATGGGACCTACAGAGCAAAAACAAAAAGGAAAACCAGACGACATGTTCTCTGTCCAATCGAACAAGGTTTGAAAACAAATCAAACTACTATATCCATCCATCTTTTCTAACTGCTTCTCCAGGACAAGGCCACAGTGAGCCTGGATTTTATCCCAAGCACAGGACATGAGACAAGGGAACACCTGAGATGGCATGCAGACTCACAGACCTAGAGTGATTTAGAGAACCCAAAGCAAAGGTATGAGAACATGAGGAGACCATGCAAACTCCACGTAAAAAAAATATATATTTACAATATACATTTTACCTCTAGATTAGATTAGATTAGATTTATTTTTATATAGTGCCTTTCACAACAAAGCCACCCCTAGGTGCTTTACATGGGTGTGTTGTGATACACTCCAGCATCATTTATACAGGATAATTCAAAAATGGGGAAAAGGGAAGACAAAGAAATGAAAGAAAGAAAGGCAGATGATGAAGGAGGAGAGGAACCAAAAACTCTCACGTAGGGAGAAACAAAAAACTTCTGGGGTTCCAAGGTCAACTAAGATGAACTTTATTGATCCCAAATGGATATTAGTGAGGGAATAGGAAGTATAAGCAGCAAGGGCAGCTGATCTTTAGGAAAGTTAGAATAAGGTAGGAATTCTCCAGACTGACCGAGTCTGTGCTCCGACACTCCCGGACCTGGATGCTGACGGTTTCATTAGGCAGCTGCGAGACGACGTAGGAAGCGGCCTTATAGACACCAACGCTGTTACCGTCAAAGGTGATCACGTTCAGGTCAGGAAAGACAGAGCAGCGGCCTGAAGGTTGCACACAAGAACAGCATTTGGAGATATTCATTGCTATACTACTGAAAAGCATAACCTAAATGGCAAATAAATAAAACAAGCAGGGCTCTGGTTCACAACACACAAATACTCAAAAAAAGTTTCATGCTTTCCTGGAAAAAAAAAAAAATCTGGAAGGCCGACGAATCTTATGGTTCTGTGCTGTGGTCACTAACTACTGCTACTGAGCGAGAAAACAACAGGTTTCTCTTTAAATCAAAGTTTGACGGAAGCTGCATATTTTTTAGCGTAACTAATTTAACCGGATAAATTCTGCATTATAAACTGTCACTATAAATCTTGGTCATCTATCCTATAGCAAGTGTGGAAATATGGAGTCAACATGGATCCATTTTTTTTAATGAGTTTAATACTTTGGTGGCTGATGTCCTCCAGTGAAGGTAACTTTATACATACAGGTTGTATACTCCGCTTAAAAAAAGCTGAACTATATATTTTCAAGCCACACCTTGTTTTTTTTACAACCCCTAAAGGTCACGTGTTTTGATCGCGTCTGCAAAAAAAAATGTTAACAGTTAAACTTATTAAATCTGTCCCGAAGATTAATCCACTGCCCTCCCACACCCCATCCAAAATCTGCACTGGTCCCTGACATTTTCACTAAACCCATCTGCCATCATCAAAAGGTTGGGAAAGCCTACATTAGAGGATAGAAAAAAATCATTCGGCAAGTCATGTATGGAGTGCACTATGACTGGTTAGTTTCAGCATTCGTACTTACATGGGCAGTCCCATAGGGGGCAGCACTTATCTCCATTCACTAGGATAGCGAACCCAAGAAGGCCACAGTTAGGAGGGGTGGCTTTGAAAGGGCAGTTCTGCGACTTGTTGAAGAGTATTAGCTGCCCACCCACGCAAACATACTTTGTGCATTCATCAATGATCTCCGAGTAAGGAGGCTGTAAACACAAGAACGCATTTTGTCAATCATAGTATCTGAGCACAGCCCATTGGTTCACATGTGGATTCATGCCTACTGACCGTGCACATCTTAGCTGAGGGAACAGTGGTGGACCCAGGAACCTTGGTGGTGCGCATGGACATGGGTATAGTGGTTGCTACGGTGTGGGGTGACAAGGTGGTAGAGGACAGCTCTGAAGACACTGTTGTCAACATCTCCACCGTTTCCACATGTGTTGAGGGTGAAGCCATAGTGGTTGACATTGTGGTTGTCCTCCGGTCGGGAAGTGAAGGCCTTGTGCTCTCAGTCTTGACAGCAGTGACTAGGCTGGCTGGTGACAGTGTTCTGGTGGTCCTTTCAGTGGTTCTTTCCAAAGTAATGGGAGGAGACTTGCTCGTCACTCCAGTGGTGCCTGTAACAGCTAGAGGAGGTACAGTGATGGTCGCCAAGCTGAGTGCTGGGGTTGAAGTGGTTTCTCTCACTGTGGTATGGAGTGTTGTCTTGTCCAGAGACTCTGAAGTAATGGCAGGGGTGGACGTTGAAGTAGGTGCATGAGTGGTGACTTTCAGTGTAGCTAGAAGGGTAGCCTGAGGTGAAGAAGGATACCCAGGAGCAGTTGTGGTGGTTCTCAGTGCTGGAGGTTTTTCTGATGGAGTAGTTTCACTGACACTCTCAGTGGTTGTCATCCTAATGGAAGCCTCGGTCGAAGAAACTGCTATGGACGTGGGGGCCCCTGTTGTTCTACTTACAGTTGGTCCCAGAGTTGATGTGGTTATAGTAGTCTCTTCTGTGGTCCAAACAGGTAGGTGTACAGTAGTCATCTTCTCCGAAGTGGCAGTGCTCGAGGTGGTGAATGCTGGATGTGTGGATGATGGGGATGTTGTTAGCATGGTCGTGACCTTCTCAGTCTTCGTCATTGTGGATGAAATGCTGGTAGTTTCTGTTAAAGTAGGTACAGCAGATAGTGGTCTGGTGGTAGAGGAATAAGCAGTAGTTTGAGTTGGAATCACAGTGGTCAAGAGGGAGACCGCTGGCGTCTCTGGAGCTGCTGTTTCAGTGCTGGATGTCAAATGTGTGGTGGTATCGCTTTCTGGCAGTATGGTCGTCTTTTCAGTACTTGCTACAGCAAATGGTGTGTCTGAGACTGCTGTGGTACGATGAGACACTGGCGATGTAGATACAGTGACTTCTGTGACTGTGACCATGATAGGCTTTGCTGCTGTTGTTGTGAAGACATCCCTGGGGACCTCGGTGGTTGAGGTGCTATATGAGGTGAATGGTTTGGCTGGGACCTCACTTGTAGTAACTCTGTCAGTCCATTGCACAGGAGTGAGTGACGTTTTGAAAGGAACATATTCAGTTGATGTGGTAGGTGCAGATGGATGCTTTGCAGCCATCGAGGAGACTGCTTTTGTAGTGGCCTCAGTGGGACTCAGTGTCACGGGCAGAGTTGACGTCTCTGAACCTGGAGTTATGACACCTGTTGTTGTAGGAGTTGAAACAGAGGCAGTGGATATGACGTGGGGTGCCTCTGATGTTACTGCTGGGGTCTCAGGAGACTTCACTGACGTGTGAGAGACATCTAGCACTATGGCCTGAGTGGTAGTGGTCTGTGTCATAAGAGTACTGACATTAGTTGTAGTCAATCCCGAGTCTGATGTCACAGTTGTCACTGGCGATGTGGCTGTAGACTTGACGGTGGTTGCTATATCCAGACTGACTGATGGGGAGGTCTTTAGAGTGGACACAGTTGACGTCACTGGATGGACTGTGGTTGTTTCGGTAGATGTCTCTGGGATTGGCAGTGTGGATGCGCCCGTAGCTGTACTAGAGATTGCTGACGTTGAGATTACTGTTGTTTTTTTAGTTGGAATTGGAGATTCAGAAGTTGAAGCAGTAGCAGGAAAAAGTGTAGTTCTAACTGTTGATGTAGAAACAGAGGGTAAAACTGGAGTAGTAGATGTTCTCAGGTCAACAGGGGAGGTAGCTACAAGTTTCTCAGAAGTTATCTCCCAGATAAGCGGACGCCTTGTCTCCAGTGTGCTTGGGTGTGTTGTTTGCAGGGTCACTGGTGTAGTCGATTCGGTGGTGTGTATCGAGCTGGCCCCTGCCTCTGTGTGGACAGGCCTTGACGGAGCTGTTGTTAAGGAGGTTTTGATGGCAGTACCGGTAGCTGGCAGAGGCGTGGCCTCAGTGGTGGAGCGTGTAGTCAACTTAGCAGTTTCAGTACTATCTGGCATAGAAGTCTCCCTATACACCTTGGTGGGTGGAATGCTCACAGCTGATGTAGTTGTGACAGTGGATATATGCAGTGCAGTGGTAGGTACTGTGGTCGTAGGGGTGCTTTTCATTGTGGTCATTTCAGAGGGTGAAGCAGGGGCAATGGGCAGGATGGAGGTAGTGGTGGAAGCCATGGATAGGAGGACCAGGAGGGGGGGCGTGGAAGCCGATCTTGTGGTCCTGGAAGTTAAGTCGGAGACAGCCCTGGTGCTGGTGAGCCAATGAGAAACGGGGGCAGTGGTGACCTTTCCCGTGCTGAGCATAGTGGACATGGTCGCAGCTGTAGTCAGCTTGGGGACAGGACTCAAGACTGTTGTTGCCCTTGAAGTACCATGGAGCTCGGGCTCATCCGCTGGTAACTTAGTGGTCCAACTGCTGGTGGACGCCTCGGGATGAAGTGTGGTGGCAACTTTTGGAGGCGAAGGGATGACTGACGGGGTTAGCACCTCCACCACAGTGGTCACCCTGGCCTCCTCAGGTCCTGTGGTCTCCTCGGAGCGGGCTGACGTCGGGGTGGCCGGAGATATGGAGTGCCCCGAGGAGGGGGCTGACGTCGGGGTGGCCGGAGATATGGAGTGCCCCGAGGAGGGGGCTGCGGTGGACACAGCGGCCGCTGAAGTGACAGCTGCAGGTGCCTCCACTGTGCTGCGGGCAGTCATGGCCTCAATGGCAACTGCTGGCCTGATGCCTGAGGATGAAGAATAAAACAACTGTTAGTTAAGAACTGTAACCGGGGGGTGGGGGTGGGGGGGGGGCAAAAAGGCACAGCGGTAAATGCATCACTCGTGCCAGGTCTGAAACCCCAGTGCCTGAGGTTCGCCGTTGGAGATTATGGCCCGAGGCTTAATTAAACAGATGCTGGAATAAATATTTCGGCTTCTGAGAAACTCGATATTTTGCTGTGATGATGTAAGACGCGCAGGGATCAACGGATAAACCCACGAGCACGTGCAAAGGACATTCCTGGCGCATCAGGCTCCATAATACCCCAGAGCAGATTGAAGAATGTATCCAAAGCTCAAAGGTAACATGCCTTTTCACTATTAAATGTACAGGCTACATATTACATAGCTTAAAAATGTAACTATAATACTCGAATACAATGAAAGTCAGGCTAAATATAGAGATCAGTCTTTCTGCTAGAGCACGATAATATTAGAGTCAGGTGAAAACTTACAGTCCTCCAAGTGTACACATCTCTGGGTCACCTCATCCAGGACCATGTGTCCAGGACATTGAGGAAGACATCCCTCCACTCTACAACGAAAGCCAAATAACTCTAAGAACAGAGCGTAAATTAAAATTTATATCCATACAAAAGTAACACTAAGGGCTTTATTCGTGTTTCACAGATTTAAACATAAAGGGGATGGTTGAGCAGGCCTGTATGTAGGGCATGACTAAACATCATAATTAATTTTGGGTTCTTACTTTGGAATGGTGGTACATGTTTGGCCATAAGGGTCACTGCAGGTCCTGAAGCAGGCGCTGAAGCATGTCTCATACCGCCACTGACAGCGAGGACCCATAGATGTGCCCGAGTTAGTGCCTAACAAAAAAATCACACAAAGGAATGATCTTACTGTACAGTGTGTACATAGCTCAAATGACAGTGACATAAAAAATAAAAAATCTACTCAACCATTTAGCACAGAACTTTGGTTTTATTTCTAGCAAAAATAAACTGCAATTGATTTAACATCTTCATATAATATCGTGCCCCCATCAGAAGCTGCAAATCCCAAAAAAAAGGTTCACAAAAATTTCTCCCCAAGTCCAAAAGCATTTTCACCTGTGTGAATTTGCTTCAGTAACACTTTACTTAAAGCAGTCATATAAATGCACTGTACATGCCTTCATAATATATTGTAATGCATTCATAATGTATTATAAACACAGCTGTACATATATATAAAAAGGTATAAACCATTATAGGCATGTTTATTGTGTGTTATGAATGCTTTATGAAGCTCTCATCTATAAAGCACTATAAATACCTTTATATGCATTATAATGGTCAGTATAAGAATTAAGGATGCTTTGTACAGCCATGTTTATAATACTTTATGAATGCATTATAATGTATTATGAAGGTATGTACAGTGCATTTATTTGACTGCTTTAAGTAAAGTATTACCATTGTTTCTTTATGCATACATTATTAGTAAGGCTGTGCTTAGCCAGTATGAAAACCCCTCAGAACCTTCCCAACGACGTCACGCACTGCACAGCTGCAAACCGCTGATTCAGACAACCATTGGTATCCAGCAGCGCCATCTACTGGACAATGTGCAAAATGCCTAGTCAACAGCTACTACAGCTGGCCAGTTGAAGCATGAAACCAGAAGCTGCTAAAAAGTTCAGTAATATATGTAGCACGTTCCTTTGTGCCTGTACAGGACGTATGTACAGGTACATGAATAAAGTAACCCAATTTAATGATGTGGGACTGTTAAGTGCAGTAAATAGCACAGTGCCATATGTGAAAGTGTGGCTATGATGTAAACTAGAAAGGACACTGTCAGCTACGAACTGGGGTCCTGACAACAGTCTCTGCTATGCCAGGCATCTGAAGCCGTCAGCAGGAAACCTAATCTCCGACTTTTCCATTAAGAAAAACAAATGCTGCCGTATTTTTAGTCGCCATAATTAGCCGGAGTCGGGCCCCGGCAAGCTGGGCGGGAGAAGCCCTGTAATAGGAGCCATGCACGCATGTGATTGGTGGAACAAACCTGTGATTTTCCACAGCTCCTGGTTAGGGAAGCACTTTTTATGGAGAGCGATAGATCTAGAATGTGGTCCGGCACCGCATCTCCCACTCCCTTCCCGGCAGTACGGTCCTGCTTCCGTCGCCCTACATCTCAACACCCCCTGACCATGCCTCCCCCCCCCCCCACCACACCCCCACACCCGACTGAGGATACCCTGGAGTGTTTATCAGAATACCGCCTTTGACAAGAGCTGTCGTTTCTCCGGGGGGCCGGAGTGTGCCGGGAGACAGCTGCGCGGCTCTGCCAGGCTGGGGGCCATACAAACCCCCCCCCCCCTCCCAACTGAGGGCCCCCCAGCAAGCCCGCGTATGACCGGCCGCAAATAGGAGTTTGCTCTCAATGCTCTCATTGTTCCCTGGAGAGTGTGTAAACATCTTGTAATGCTATGGATGCATTTTCTATATGGTTTCGGTATAAATCTGACTGTTTCGTTTTTACATGCTAAACATACTAGTATTGCGGAATTTATAGGGTAATATATACATTGACTGGCATCCCATCCAGGGGGTTCCTTGACTGGTACTATGCTTACTGAGATACAGTACTGCAGTGTTTCCCAATCTGGCCCTCAGGGACCCACAGGCTGTCCATGTTTTTGCTCCCTCCCAGAGGGGCACAGAGGGAGCAAAAATGTGAACCAGCTATGGGTCGCTGAGGACAGGACTGGGAGACACTGCTGTATTGTATGTTTACGGGAGATGGAAGGACATTTCATGTTTTAAAAAAAATGTCTCCCATAAGCTAATTTGACTGGAACTGCTTTAATACACTGAGGGTGAAGACTGAAGATTCAAGTTGTCTCACTGGATGTGTGCAACAACTGCATCGGAATGCTTAACCACCCAGCCAAGCCAACTACAAAGCACAACTGAATGCATACAAATAAATATGAAATACACAACAGATGTGCTATTGTGCAGTAAAACAAGTAACACTTCAACGACCATCCATCCATCCTTCTTCTGTACACGCTCGTCCTATTCAGGGTCACGGTGCTCTGGGGCCTATCTTACAGGTACAAGGCAGGGAACAACCCAGGATGAGGTGCCAACCCATCACAGACACTTAGACATTACAATAAAAACACCGTAACAGCAATATTTCAGTGGTCCAGATATAGTTATTGATGACTGAGGGAACAAGTTATTCTTGAATCTCGTACTGAATGCATGAGGTAAATTCATACCCAGAACAATTATTAATAGTCTGACAAAGCAGGGAAATGCTTCTGTGCGATGTCATCCGCCGACCTTCAGTAACCTCAGTTACTGTACTACCGGCCACACGGGGGCGCACACTGACCCATCAGCCTGAAGAGGATGGACCTGCGAAAGCTGGCGCTGTGGCTGTACTTTGCGAGGCGCAGCCTGGGTGACGCCGAGTGCAGGAAGTGGCCACGCACGGCGAATGACTCCAGTGAGTCGTAGCCACTGATCCAGGTGTCCCGATGCAGGACGTAGGTGGACTCGTCCCAGAACCGCTCACTGTCCTCCCACTTGGTTAGCCGCAGCAGGCCGTCCCCACCCACACGCAGGAAGAAATTTGGCCTTTCGGCTGCTTCGAAGGACACCAGAGATGGGTCTGAAAAAAGACAGGTGACCCATCAGTTCCCAGTCACTTTTAGCGCCACGTATACTGTTGGATCCCAGCTGAACCCATTCAAGAGTGTCATTTCTCAAAGGTACAACAGCAGGCCCAGTGATAGGATTTGCCGCACTCAGTTCTGAAGTTTCTCATGAATAATGCCGTATGTATCACAGAAAATTTGCAACAGCTGGTGAGAAGGCGGGGCATATGGGGGAGAGATGAGAAGAGGCAGGGTCACGTGGGAATGGGCGTGGCTTACCGTGAGGTCGCGCCCTGCTCAAGCCAGGGGTCATCATGAAGAGTGTGGTCACTCCAGTGGCTGGCGAGACCCCCTTCAGTGAGAAGACCACCCCGCCTGACGAGTTAGCAGCCAGAAGGGTGTCTTTCTCCCTGTAAGTGAGTAATCGGTAGGGACCTTTTCCCAGAACTGTAGAGGAAATAGCTGGGTTAGTCCCTGCTATGGGAGATAAAAGACATCAGGAGGCTTATTCATTGTGCATTTTGTTCGCCTGTAAACTACTAAAATGTTTGAAATTAAGGATTAATTTCTCAGTCAGAAGGCAAGTCAATAGATTATACCACATTTAAAACTAGCTAGTATACTGGCAGTCCATTTTGCTTATAAATTAGAAGCAAATGAAGTTGCCACTCAAACAGATTCTTCCCTCATGCCTGAGAAGTATATTGAACGGATATTTTGAATTGTTGAATTATGACAATTAGGATATGACAATTAGAATTTTACCTTTGTTGTAGAATTCGCAGTCATAAGCTGTGGAAACGAGAGAACAGAAGAGCATTCAACAAAAATGTTCATGTAAAACCCACTGCGATGTCACCTCACTGTACAGTATATATCATTATGAACAAGGCTCTGATGTTATCGTGATATCGGTTAATTTCTGGGGACTTTTTCTCAGGTTCGGCAGTAAAATATCACTCTTTTTCCGCACTGGTCGTGATGGAAGCGCTGTGACCAGGCCCTCAATCCCACAATCCCTCCTCGCACCAACCTTGGCTGCGATGCAGATGTCGCCCCCCACATTCCCATCTCCCCGCACCAGGACACACTCACGGCACATGGCGGGCGAGCGCCAGTCCACGGAAACACCCAGCTGGCAGCAGCGATGGGCATAGGCCGACACGCTGGTGCAGAAGCACTCGCAGTCACCCCCGCGGCTGCAGCCACACGTGTCCGTCAGGCAGTTCATGTAGAACCAGGTGACATCAACCTGGGCGGGGGGGGGGACAGCACCCACCATCAGTGAACTGTGGGCCAGCAGCAGCTCTCACGGAGCGACAGCAACAATGAATAAAAGGTACAGCCATAGTGATGTGAGGGACTGAAAGTGAGAGATGGACTGTGTGCGTGTGTGTGTGACTGTGTGTGCGTGCGTGACTGCGTGTATATGCGTGTGTGTGTCTGTGTGCGTGTTAGTGTGTGTCTGTGTGCATGTGTATGTGTCTGCATGTGTATGTGCACGTTTGTGTCTGTGTCTGTGAGTGGGTATACCTATCCTTATGGGGACACAATGTCCCCATAATGCGATAAATATCCATTGTTTTCCCTTATGGGGACCAGTTTCCTCTATTTTATAAAAATCGGTGACTGCTATGAAAACACTAAAAATGGAAAAACTCTTGTCTTTTGTTTGGTTATTAATGGTTATGGTTAGGGCTGAGTGGGGCTAAGATTGTCATAGTTAGCGTAGCGTTTTTCCCATAGAAGTGAATAATCAGAAGGATAGGTATAGCCGACCTGTGTGTCGTGCGTGCGTGTGTGTGTGTGTGTGTCCGCAATGTGGTAAAACTTCTTACATTTTAGACTGTGTTCGCATGTTTCAGGTTCCCACAAAATAAACCTCAATTTTATCAAAATCTGTGAATGCAATCAAAAATCGAAAAGTCTTGTATTGTGCTACTTATGGTTAAGGTTAGAGCTTGTTAGGGGTTAAGGTTGTCATTGCTGGGATTAGGGTTATGCCAATAGAAATTAACGGACAGTCCCCATAAATATATGAACACAAGCAGAACCAACACCCACTCATTCTCTTATTATATTTTATACTAAAGCCTCGATAAAGTTTTTGAAATGTGCCTTTACTTTGAATTAAGCAGCTGAAGTACAGACCGTGCGAGTGCGTAGCAGAGCAGAAAGTTATTTTCTGCGCTCTGAGCCCATAAATCAGTTGTGGCCCTTGGTGTGAATGAGTGAGCTTTTGGACACTAGGCATGTGTAACTCCAGCCCCCCCCCGCCGTTGAACAGCTGACCCAGCAGGATCCTAACCCCTGCCTCACAGTTCACCCACAACACCCACGAAAACACACAAGCACAGGGGCAGAACTATAATAAGACGATTGTGACCCAAACACATATGCAAACTGTAACTGAAATCTGGCATAAGGACAAACTCATAAACACAAACAAATCACTATGACACAAATGGATTACATTGCTGATACGTTGGATCCGCACTTCTGTTTATCCCAAGAGCCATTAAACTCAATTCCCAGAGGAATTTCTGTAATCTGTGTGTTTAGAGCCTGGGAGTTCAGTTAGGCTTCACGGAGATGGACGCATTTGCTGTAATAATAAATTACATTTACATAATATTAATCATAAAAAATGTGTAGATCATAAGGATATACGTTCCTAACAGGAGAGCTTTCCAAGACATAGTAATTTTATGCATTCTTGAAATTAGTATTTTATTTTAACAGCTGTGCCATGTATTCATGGTTATTCATCTTTTCTCAGTTAATTTTCCTAACATGAATAATTTTTATGCTCCCATTAAAAAGTTTCCTTCCTACCCATTAATGCTAATTGGTATTTCCCTAGGAATCCATGGCACTGTAAAAAAAAGTGTTTTTTTATTACATGAGTTGCCAAATGATGGTGGTGATCCATGCAGCAGCAAACAAACCTCAACATGGGCAATTTGATGGTGCAACAAAATGAGCATTTTTTGCAGTATGTGTACTCACCACTGGGTGGCAGAGCTGGAACACCTCACTGAGCAGTATCCCACACTGCCGTTTGGCAAAGGGCTCCCTAAGAGGGCTCAGGCTGCAGGGGTGTCTGATATCAGGGCTGTTCACACACTGATGAGACACCCGCATAGAGCCATTAGTGGACACGTGACTTTTGGTCATACATGTGATTTGACACCATGAAGATTAAGCCATTCTAACTGGAGAAATTTTCCAGAAAATACCAATATGAAACGTCACCGAATATACTGTTTGCTCATTAAAGCAACTTCATAGAGCATCTTGTTAAATCTTGTTCACATGCAGAGGAGGACAGTTCAGGTCCAGAAAGTAAAAATCCAGGCCAAGATTTTGTTCCAACCAACCAGCTGAGTACTCTGTGACTGTGACTCTTTATGCTCAACTGGCTGGTTGAAACAAAACCTTGGCCTGGATTTTTTTACGTACGACAGCACAGTGCGACACCAGGAACCACTAAACCCGCGAGGAGACTTCGCTGCCTCACCTCTGCTGTCGTCCAGCTGTTTCCGAACTCTTGCGGCGTCGCAGACTCGATGTTTTCTGGGGTTCTCATCTCATTCACCGTTTTCAGGTCGTAGTTTCCACACAGCCCTACCAGCTTTCCCTGAAGGTGACAAGTCTCATAACACAATCGCTCCTATACTTGTCAGGGAAAGCTCAAAATTCATAGTCGTTTAACAGTATTAAAATATCACTTAAAATTCAACTTAATGACACTCTCCATTATTCTGCTTATTGTGATCGCTTGGTGCATATTCTGGTTCAATAAGACTGTAGGTCTTCCACTGGACTCTACAGTGACTCTTCAGTCACTGTAACACTGACATCACTGCTCACACTGTGTACGAGTGCCCATAATCCTCTGAGTATTGCTTACATTCAGTTCATACTGTCCAAATTGTTGGTACATTTCTCAGATCTCTTGAACATTACACTTATATTGCACTTTTACCTTATTACTTATGTATAGATTATGTATTTTTTTTTATTTTATATTGTTATCTTTATATTTTATTATTCTCTTATCATGCACAGCTGCTCAGAGTGACCAGGGTCACATTTCACTACATGTCGTATGTGTACAACTGTGTACGTGACGAATAAACCTCTTGAATCTTGAATCTAGCTTTTCCACTGTATTTTCAGTCTGAGAGATTACAATGCATCTGCTTATTCCTCGGGGGTGAAGTTTCATAATGAGGTGTAACACTCTCTCCAGTGAGACCTATTAACCCTTTTCATCTTAAAAATAATATTTTTTTTTTTTTTTTGGGAGGGGGGGGTTGTGTGTATGTCTCCCGCCTCACCTGCCAGCGTGGACCAGCCTGGATGTGCACCGTGGTCTTCGTGTCCCACATCACCGTGAGATCCTCATTGGGCACGTGCAGGATGGTGAAATATCCCGCCTGCCAGATGAACAGGCCTTGCTGGCTGTCGATCAGGCTTGTGGGATTCTGTGTTGCAGAAAAACTCAGTGTGTCCGTGTCTCCTCTTTGGGATGGATGTTGTAAAGGCAGAAACTAAGCTGGCATCCAAAGCAGTGCTTCCCAACTTGGCCTGGGAAGGAGCAAAGACATGGACCGTCTGGGGGTCCGAGGGCCTGGTTGGGAAACACTGCTGTAAAGGACAAAAAAATAACCTACTGGCTTTCCACTGTCATCGTCGAAAGCGACGACGGATTTCCCGATGCTTATCACCAAGGACTTGCGACAGATGACTCCACTGTCGAAACAGTCCACATTTTCAGTGGTTACACTCACAGATGCATCGACATCACTCTGTGGGAAAAGCGTAACAGAATGGAGAGGGGCAGATTGAGTCAGAAAGTAGCATCCGAACAGTGAGATTTAGTGAGCTATTGAAGTGTGGCTTATCACAATAATTAATAACTAAACTAAAATATCCATCCACCTGCCAACAGCTTATATAGGACAGGCTTGGAACTGACCCTGGAAAGCATGGAGCACAAGGTAGAGATGGACAGAATGCCAGACCATCGCAAGGCACAGACGTACACAAACCACAGGCACATTAGACGCCCGTGAGCTACCCACAAGTTTTTTAACGGCATGAACAACATAGAGCGAACATGCTAAGAGCAGAAGCTACCCACTGTGACGAAACATGATATAAAACGATGAAGTTCTTTAGGATGATCATGCTTGGCAGTTTGGTCCTGCAGCCGCAGCCTCACCTTCAGCAGGTAGACCTTACAGGCTCCGGCGTAGTCGAACTGCAGCCCGTCGAAGGTCTTGTAATGGCGGTCTCCGTAGGCGGTGCACATGGACGGACAGGGCCGGAATTCACACTGAAACGTCCCGTGCTGGCAGACACTAGGGGGGACATTGGCTGTCCTTAGCCTCAATGTTAATCTGACAATGGGGGGGGGGGTCACCCCAACCCAAGCAACACTGGAGATCCTGTAAGTTCTCTTCATGGGGTGGGGGAGCTATTGCCATAAGAAACGAAATGAGGACCTGGCTGCCAAAGGGCTAAAATCTCTTTTGCAAAGTACCGTCAGGATCTTCCCGTATCTTGGAGAAAAATAGAGTCAGATGGGTGCTGGTAGGGGTGGAGGGGGGGGGGCTGTCTCTCGGCAATAATTAGGGAGCCATTTATCCGGAAGGAACAGCCAAGTCCTTTAACATGCCTGAGAGGAGGTCCTTAGCCTAGGGCTGGCTGTTTTTATTTCAACAGCAGCGATGAAAAGCAAGTGTATCAGGTGACGAGTCTCGGGAGACAATTAAGGAGTGATTTTTTTTCCCTAAAAATTAACAGAATTACAGGAGATATGATTTAATTCAGGCCTGCTTTGTTTGTCTGCTTTTAAGGAGATCCAGCCGTCTGACAGCTGGACAAGACGCTTGTTATTCCATTTCAAAGCTACCTCCATGTACTGAACAACCATTTATGCAGTGTAGAAGCTGCCAGAAAAGATGGATCAATTTCCTGAGAATCTGTGAGGTATGTCAATGATGACAAGGCCAGTGAGTTTTTTTTACTAAAGACTCAGGTTTTACAAACTACTATAAAACTGAAAGGCTCCTGTGCTCGGCTAAACTGTGTGGTTCATCTTTAACTTACTGGTTTGTTTCCTTGATTGAAAGATTCATCCAGCTGTTTCACATTAACATGAGTGACACATGCATGATTATAGGAGACTGACCAATCAGCACATGGCGCTAAAGGGAAATCCGGGTCCTTTTAATTGAAATGGTTGAAATGGTAGTTTACAAACCCTGTCGTAGCTCATAGTGTCCCTCCTGACACGGATTAGTTGGTTACCCTAGTTGCAGGGGGTCCAGATCCTATCCTGGGAGCTATGGGCGCAAGGCTGCCAACAACCCAGGATGGGGCACCAACCCATCGCAGGGCACACTCACACACCAGTCACTCACACCCCAGTCACTCACACACCAATCACTCACACACGTGCACCTATGGGCAGCTTACTAACTTCAATTAACCTCAGCATGCTTTTGGACTGTGGGTGGACACCGGAGCACCCGAAGGAAACCCCACGAAGACATGGGGAGAACATGGGGAGAACATGCAAACTGCACACACATGGAGCCCTGGCGAAGACTCGAACGCTAGTCCCAGAGGTGTGAGGTAACAGTCCTGACCACGGTACTTCCGTCCCACCCCTGTTAAAATAGCTTTTTTGTTTTTGTTTTTTTTTACATGTCCTTTCAGAGACAGTGTACTTCCGTACTTCCCTGTGAGGCACTAAATGCCAGGCTTACCAGTGGTGACACGGAGAGGTCACTTTGTCCCCAGGAAAGAACTCTTTCCCTTTCCATACGCAAGGGCAGGCTTCAGGTTCAAAGCACTCATCGCCATGCCTCAGAAGGCTGAGAAAACAAAACACGTATTAAGAATAACAACAACAACAATAATAATAGTAATAACAAATAATAAATAATAATAATCATCATCATCATCATCATAATTATTATTATTATTATTTATATAAAGATTTCATTTGAAATGTTTTAACTGTCTTAATAATATGCAATGAAAAGGAAAAGTTGCTGTGCAATTTGCCTTGGTTAATAGTATTTATTTATTAATTGAATCCCTCTGGGGGCCTGTATGTTGGTTAGCTAGATAACTTGTTGGATTTAAGGTACCCCAGTTAAGATGGACAGCACACAGCACACAACAAAATATGTCCTCTATATTTAACCTGTATGTGACATCGTGATATAGCAGGGGGCAGCTAATTCAGCACCCAGGGAACAGTTCCTTGCTCAGGTTACCTTGCTGGTAAGGGATTCAAACCAGCAATCTTTCAATTACAAGTGCATTTCCCAAACCATTAGCCGCCCTACCCTCCCATGACCAAAATCATTTGCCGTTAAAAAAGAGAGGTAACACGTAGGCGCCGGGAAATGCGTTTCAGCGGTGAAGCTGCCTTTGTGTTTGCTCAGACCTCGGTTCTCAAACTGAGCACACCAGATTAGAATCTTGTAATATTCGGGGCCGATATATTCCCACTGTCGTGTCAGTGCACAATGAAGCAACACACTGAATGGGGTCTGGGACAAATGTCGGGTTCATCAGCGTAAAGTTACACCACAGATAAACTGGCGTTAACAGCTTCCTTTATCTATGAGCCAGGACAGCGAATCAATTACTCCGATCAAAGAATTCATAACAATGCATCCTTCAGCTTCCGTGCACTATTTATAAATAACTCTTCCCATCTTCTACGTTAATTAAATCAATTCTATGAAGGCTGTAAGGATTATTTCCTTTAACACTGATGACACGTTGTCTAATTAAGTTTTATTACTGGAACTCTGATGTCTGATGATTTTCGGAAAAAGGGACGATTACTTAAATCTGAGATCACCGAGGGGTTTCCCCTCCCCAAAGATGCTTATCAGAACAATGATATGCAGTCCTGGTACCACACACCTATTGTTAGCTATTTGTGGCACTATACCCATAAGTCTGGAAAAGGACACTGATGAAATGCATTTAGCCACCATTTTGAATTAACTCCCACCAGCACTGTATGCCTAATTAGAAGTTCATAAATGAGAGGGTTGTCTCCATTTCTCAACAAAGTTAAAAAAAGACTAAGAGAAACAAGCGTTAAAATGCAAAGCCTAAGGCGGCAAACGGCCAAACAAGAAAAGAAGCAAATATGGCCGCCCTGACCTACATGATTTTGCAAGAGACTCACAGCAGGAGGATACTGTAACACTGTATTGTGTTGGCGTAAATTTAGTGCAAAACAGCAACATTATCCCCAAAGTATAACTTTATCAAGCCATTGTCAAAAAACTAAAACATGATTTCCATTGTACAAAAATAAAACACTGCAAAGTTCTTGTACAATCTGTAAAACAACAGAAGGCAAAAAAGCTGTCCTGTCCTAAAATAATCTGTAGATTCGGGTCCTGGGAGTCCATGTCACTTAATTTGAGCACAGAATACAGACTTTTTGTGAGGGTGTGATGAAAGAAAATGAAGTCACAATGTGCATGATGAGGGATGAACCACACACCTTTTTTGTGTGTGAAATTAAAATGTGCTGATATTCTAAAACAGGCTTCTGGAATGCATTTAAGCGGCTTACCAGTCACCTGATCCCAGAGTCCACCTGTTTACAGCATAAATAAGAAAAGCAACGATTTACAGAATATGCCGAACACAATGATTAATGGTTCTGGATGTATTACAAAAATTCATTACCAGTGGAATGCTTCTCCTTTGAAAAACCGTTCATACTCCAGATTTTGAAGGGAGAAACTTGGCATTACTCTCATAAATGAACAAAATAAGTGTGAGAACAAGAGAGGCAGAGAGGCGAAAATTAGTCCACAAGTTCAAAAAGAATTGATAGAGAAATCTTTTATAGTGTGAGGAGATTTCGTTTATTCTGTTCAACCATACTGATACCCTGGCACATTCAGGGGTGGGGGGGGGGGGGCAGCACTATAATAGGGGCCCCAAAATCTACCGAGAAGAAGTCCCCTGCTTGACAAAATCAGCCCGGCAAATTTCAACTACCAAAATATTTCTTCAGATTGAAAGTTCAAAACCAACTGGGGGACAAAAGGTTACATTTTATCAGGGGGCCCAGAATTTCTAGCTACACCCCTACTGATACCGATACTGATAAGACAGAAACCTTCTCAACTTATGAAATTTAACATACTTTATAAATTCTGTTTAACTGAAAAACTAGATGAGGGACTGAGGAGTGAATCATGCAATGGTGCAACCAAGGTGAAACTTGAGAAGATGCCCTCCAATTCCTCTGTTTTGAAAAGAAATACACTATATGGACAAAAGAATTGGAACACCTGGACATTCTACTTACAGGAAGTTTTCTGACGTCCCGTTCTAAATCCATAGGCATCAATATGGAGCTGGTCCCCCCTTTGCAGCTATAACAGCTGCCACTCTTCTGGGAAGCCTTTCCACAAGATTCTGGAGTACGTCTGTGGGAATTTTTGCCCGTTCATCCAGAAGAACATTTGTGAGGTCAGCCACTGATGTTGGACATGAAGGTGTGGCTTTCAACCTCAGTTGAAGTTCATCCCAAATGTGTTCGATGGGGTTGAGGTCAGGGCTCGGGGCCACTAAAGTTCTTCCACACCAAACTCTCCCAACCATGGATCTTGCTTTGTGCACTGGGGCACAGTCATGCTGGAAAGTTTCTCTATTCCTATTCCTGCTTTGTAATGTGACCTGTTAATAAATCCACTGCCTTGCTTATCTCAATCTGACAGAACATTCAGATGTTACAAAACGGCCGAAAATCTGGCTTTGCACATGGTGGTGAGCAGCCGTCTTGGGTGCTCATTTGCATGGATCAGCGACTTCGATCACACAGCCTTCCGCTCCACACGCATGGGGCCCCCGCCGCACTCCCCAAAGAATGTGTCTGGCTGCAGGCTTAATCACACTGAAACCGTATTTTTTTTATCAATACCCTCATCTCCACGTCGCCCCGCGACATAATGAGTCTTTGTGTCCATATTTATGGAAAACCTGACTTCGGCTATCGAGTTGCAGGCATTTATTAAACATTCATGACAGGATTTTAGTTCAGGGAAGTTCCCTGCTCTCCCTTGTGTGAAGGTTACTAATCACGTTTTCCTGTGAAATCACCATTGAGTACCGATTTCCTCTTCGGAGTATCATCTGCTCTTAAAGATCAAGTATCCTATTATTATTGATCACTTTTGAGTTTGTGTTTATCTGGACAGGTCAGCATAAATGGTTAAATTTCCTGATATATACTGAACACACCTGAGTCTATGTATCGCATAAGCACTTTGAAAACAGTGGTCGTCAAAGCGTTGACCACAAGCTACTATAAGCCTGTAGAAAGCCAATGAGTAGCCCCTGGACAGGTCAATCCTATAGGCGAACCTCTGAACTTCTATCCAGATTATTTTCTTTGTAAAAGTTTGTAAAAGGTTGGAGACCCCTGTCCTGAAATAACAGGATTACAAGAACTATGTGTGCTTTGATTAAGAAAAGGGCAGAGTTCCCAGCTCTGACACGCACTCTTAGCGCTCATGTAAACATGAGAACTGCATGAAGGCACCAGGGAACAAAAATCAACAGATCGTGATGACATGTCAGCTGAACGACAGAAGAGTCACAGCTCTTGAGTTACAATTAATAAAAAGTCCACTTAACCTCAACACTGCCTCTAAGCGGATCAGGTGGCCTTATTTTAAGCAACTCTTATGGCTGAAAGGCCAATAACAGCTAGAATGAAGAGCAACAGGGTGTCATTAAATCACACCATCTGATGAGGGCGCTCTCTTTTTAAGAGTCTATGTAGAGAAACCTGTCCTGGGATATTCCGCCTCTACCTACAATTCTACCTATAGGTGACTCCAGTTACAGAAAAGGCTGCACAGAAAGAGCAAATACTGACTTTTTATGTAAGTCCAGACTTACATAAGTAGAGGCAAGTTATCTGACAGGGAAAAGAAGGTTAAAGGATTACCTACAAGTTCCCTGACGTAATCCAGCCCAGTGTATAAGCTGACATTCAGGGGGTAGGTAGAGTCACGGATCAGCAGTCCTCAAACTGACAGCTTCAGCTTTCACTGGGCACACACATCAATGCTCTCACTATGCTGCACGGCTCCACCGAAATTCTGGACTTGAAACAGCTTTGATCAACCCCTTAGCCTCTTCCGTTTCCCATATCTTCTCCCCGAAGAGATGAACACCTGGCCTCCTCCTCAACAGCTTTTGCTCAGTGGGGGCAGCTGTAGTGGAACTAAGTTTCACGTTTCAACAAGAAATAGACATGCAGTGGATGTATGCATGCCCAGGTCCCCACTAATAGCCCCCTGATCATTTCTTACATGATAAGAACAATTATCTGCTTTTTATCTTACTGAATAACCATCCAGCCTGGGTAATTAATAAGAAAAAGGCACCGTGTTGGTAATATGTCAAGGTTAAGTCACTCAACATTATTATAATGGTTGCTTTCAAGTCATCAACAGGATTTTTTTTTCAACTGGTAAAATACTGGATTTCTCAAAACTCTCTGCAAATGATTCATTATTTCTTCCAGAAAACAGATTATATTCAAAAATATTTTGCCTACATAAACATTTTGAGAAGTAGTTTAAAGAGATTTAAAGTGTGTGATTCTACTTCAGTTGAGGACTGAACTCACCTTTGGTGAGCTGAAAGTTCCCCCAGTATAAATTTCACTTATTCAATGAGTCTGAATAGTGAAAAGTAGTCAATCTCCTGTTTTGAAGTAGCATGTGTACTGTAATAAGCGCAGGAGAAAGGAATAAAAACCAAAGAAGTAACTGAGGAGGTCAGACACAAGACTGTAGCCAAGCATGGACAATCTCAGCATTGCAAGTCTGTCTCCGGAGACTACTGGGTTTCCACCATATGTAATGCTATCAAGAAGTTTAAGGCCCTTGGCACCACGGCAAATCTCCCTGGATGTAGCTGCAAGAGAAAACAGCTAAGGATTGTTTAAATGGTGGAAAACGCAACTTTCATAGAGACTAAGCCGACCTTCATACGTAAGGTGCATAGTTTCAATTTCGCACCATCTGTCAAATCAATAAAAGAGGGTTATGTAGTCAGATACCAAAGAAGATGGTCCAGATGGTGCAGTGTGATACTTACAGTGCTTGAAGTATTTGAATGCAGTTGAATTTAAGCACTGGAGACCAATTTAGAACTTTTTGGTAAACCACGGCATCTCCCCTTACTGAAAACAAACGGAGGTTTTCCGAGAAAAAAACTTTCCCTATAGTCAAACGTGGAGGAGGTTTTTGGGATTTTTTTGGGAGTTCCTTGATTCCTCTGGCACTAAGTGCCTTGAATGTATGTGACAAGAAATCAGAAGAACAACAACAGATTTGGAGAGCAATGTGCAACCCAGTTTCAGGAAGCTGTGTCCTTGCTGAAGGTCATAGGTCAATTACGTGTGTCCCAGGAAGAACACATAAGATTGTAACCGTTCCCTTTACTGTAATTCACTTTGCAAGAAAGAGACAGATAAGTGAATAAAAGGAGTGAAAAGGTCTTTCTGCATAACTATGATCCCAAACACACTTCAAAAATACTGAGGAATGGTTTAAGGAAAAACACTGAAATATCCAAATGAAACTCACCAAACTTCTAGTAAATTAAATGAGGAAGCTCATTGACATAGAATCCACCTGATTGTGGTTATTATGACCGAAGGCTGTGCTACCCAAAAAGTATTTTTTTGATAAAACTTTGACAGGGCATAAATACTTAGTAATAACTCAGTTACTACTGAAGTACAAATCATGAACAAATCATGAACTAATGTAGTTGCTGCTTGAGATAAAACATGCATCACGATTCAATAATTATGAATTAACATGAGATCAGTATGTAACTAAGACTTAGTTTGTGGTTAATTGATACATAAGTAACAGCATACTATATTTTTGTGCTCTGTCAAGTGAAATGTTATTCAAATTCTTCAAAGGCAATTTCTTTCCATTTAAAAGTATGTACTCATTCCTGAATCAAAATTAAAGATCCCCCAATATGACCAGAGAAACGGATAATGGTGGATACTATAAGCACTTTCAATTATTTATGGGCAAATCGTGAGCTATTTGCAAAAAATACATGGGAGCCAATATTTTTGACTGGATTTGTATACAAGTTGGCTGGGAGGTGCTAGAAGGCCTAGAATGGTTTTCATGTAATGTTGCCTAGGAGTCAGCAAATATGACAGAAGCATCCAAAAAAGCAGGGGTACCCATGTGCAACCCTTCATCCCACTGTATCACTACCAATGGGATAGATACACAAGGTCACCCCCACCAATTTTCTGTGGTAGCATCCAGTGGTATAAATGAAAGCAAGCAAACTCACCCCAAGGGGCAGACACAGCCAGCTACACAGGGTTCGTGGGTGGAGCAGGTGAGGTTGAGCAGGTAGGTTTCACAGGTCTGCTCACACTCCACCCCCTTGCTTGCAGGCAGCCTGCCATCTAAGTCTGCACAGTCATGGTACAGCTGGCCAGGCGGACATGTCTTATCTGGGGGAAGAGGGACGGATCAGGGCCCACTACTTACGAACAACAGATGGGATATATGAAGCTTGACCTTAATTACCCACCTGTCATTTAAAAACAGATACAATTAAAATCAGTCTGTGTTATATTCAAAATCGAATATTAGAAATGGAATACTAAATAGAAAAAGATTTGCTATTTATAGAACTGCATATCTATGCTTAAGATCAGAGGTGGAAAGTTCAGGTCCAGAAAGTACAAATCCAGACCAAGGTTTTGTTTCAGTCAACCAGTTGAGTAGTCTAACTGTGACTCTACAGTATATACTCAACTGGTTGGTTGAAACCAAACCTTGGTCTGGATTTGTACTTTCTGGACCTGAACTTTCCACCTCTGCTTAAGTTATCAGGGAGGTAATTGCATTTTGACACACCCCAGCAGCTGACCTTCAGGCCACCAAGTCCGTAACCAATCATAGAACAGAATAGTGAGAGTTTATCGATCCCTTGGGGAAACTGTCTTTTTGCCTATTCCACCTGGCTCTCCAGGAGACACACAGAGAGGTGACTGGGCAGGGGTCAGCCAATGTGCAGCCCCTGCAGCTGGGGGCTAAGGGTTATGATGTAAGGCCCACAGTGACATCAATTTGCTGGCCCGGGGATTCAAACCGGTGACCTTCCGATCTCAAGTACACAGTCCTGATCTGCTGTGCCACACACCATCTCAATAAAATCATTTGTCACTTGCAACTGTATGTACACTGAAGGTGAACGGTACAGCACTCACCAATGTCAGAGCTTTGGGGCACCATCTTACCATCCCGACAGACGCTAGAGCACAGGAAGTTAAAGTAAGTTTCAGCACAGACCAAAACAAGCCAGAGGCGTTTCTCAATATGCAGTCTTGACCACGCTTGTGTTCTCATGTACCCGTTTTACTTCATATTCCATTGGCAAAGACTAGTTTTGATACTCAAGAACAGAAGTACAGAGGACAGTAAAAATCCCTAGATGTCATTCTTGCAACAAATTGGATATCAAAGATACATCGCTGCATCCTCACCAAACGAGACCAATTCCATGATGAAGTTACTTCTTGGGAGGCAAGATAGCAAGACCGGTCTAGCCCAGACCACAAGTACAATCTTTGTGTTCTTGGTAGTGAGAAACACCCCCTGCTGAGGTTCTAAGGAAGAAGCGGGCGGAAGGGTCTTACTGAACACCTGATGAGCTCAGAACCACGTCCCCAGGTGCGTACTCGGCCCCCAAGAAGACACAAGGGCAACTGCTCCTATGGTCAGGATGTGAAGAGAATGTGAGCTGGCCAATAAGAATGAACCAAGTTTTATACACATTTCAAATGAATACTAAGTGAACAGAAGCAGATCATACAAGGCATGTACAGAGAAAACAAACCCTACTTTCACTTAAATTGTCTTGTAGTTAAACACAATCCAGCAATTTTGCAGCTCTACTCAGACAGTTTTCCCACCCAGAGAGTCTGGACGTCACGAAAGCAGTTTCCTTTACAGGATCAGCAGTGTAAAATGAGCTAGAAACGAGCAACGAGGTGGAAACATTCGCGTTTTGCTATCAGTATCAGCGGGTGCACAAAAACAGTGGAGAAACAGTCCAGCTACGAAGAGCCGGTGTGTAACGGATTTCCCAGCAGCCCCAAGCCCTGTAACACATAAGCCTCGGCGACAGACCGAGCTCAGTGTCACAAATTCTTTCTCGCCGGTTATCAGATACCGCTGCCTTCGACAGCTTGAAGGGCAATGAATGGACGGTTTCACAGCGAATTCCTCAATGTAACCCTAGCATATGCTAAGTAAGGCGAAAAAGCTACTGTAAAATGTAAAACCTGGAGTTCCAGACAGACACAGGTGCGTGTTTTCCAGAGCAAACAGCCTAAGGGAGTCTGTGCAGCGAACACTAAACAGACAGCCTTCTCACAGCACCTAATCCCTATACATACAAAAGAAATATATATCTCCGCTATCTACTTCCTTCTGACTTTTAACAGAAAAAGCAAGTATACTGTTCAGTTACATTAAAGCAGTTCATTGCGCCAGAAGAGAATACTTCTTTACAAATTAAAACAAAAGTGCATGTTGGCAGTAATTTAGCACTTTAATTTACACTTTGCTCTAAAATGAACGTAGATGGTGTTAGTGTTAACATAAAAAAAATCTTGGTGACACTTTACTTGAGGGGCAGAAGCAGCTTAGTAAGTCATTTAATACTCAAGTACAAATCATGCATATACAAATCAAACAGATATATAGTAACTGAATGAAAAACATGAAATATTATTGATTAATTATGAACGAACATGCAATGGATACATAACTAACACTTAGTTTCTGTAGGTGAAAGTAAGCCGGCTGTGTAAAGGGCTGCCACCCATAGCAGCTCCCAGGGAGCTGGGGGTTAAGGGCCTTGCTGAAGGGCCCACAGATACACAGCCTCCGATCACAGACACAGAGGCTGAGCCCACTGAGCCACATGCTGCCCCCATATATATATATATATTTATACTACGGGACCGTTGATTGCTTGAATCTGATTGGCTGACGAACGTTCTGAGGTGTGCAATTATTTTCAGGGAAACGCACGGCGAACGTAGTTCCAGGCAGCTCTCTTGACCGCATTACAGTTCCATATCACTTCGCATAGTTAACTGTAAGAACGGAAATTAGCATACAGTACCTATACAGCACACAGGACTAACAAAAACAACAACATGACAGACGATTTTCCGAAAGTAAATTTTAATATTTACGGTGAATATGAAACTTTCAACAACTGGGCTGCAGCAGTATTAGACAGTCCAGATGAAAAACAACATAAACGGAAGCGGACATCAAAGGCAGCCGGCAACGACAAAAGACATAAAACGATCAGCGAAGAACAGCTAGACATACTCGAGGGAGAAAAACACGAAGAAAACACCAAAAAAACAACAGCTAATGACGTTTTGGAACTAGCAAAAGAGTCGTTGAATGAGATGCGGAAGAAATAATCCTACTCCGCTTCGCGTCGTGGCCGCATCACCACCTCGGGTGTGCATTATTTTTCTAATAATTCAACGGCCCGTCGTCAATTATTCCTTACATAAAATGTATATTATATATTTACTGTAAAAATAAATATGCAGTATACATTTATGAATCAAACTCATAATGAACTAAATCCTGTCTAAATCCCGTGTTCTCTGCAACCGAGTATGATCACTTGTCTGCAGCGACAAACATCCCTATAACAATTCTTTTTTTTAGCCCTGTCTGAATTTCCTGGGGAAAAAGCCTTAAATGTCCTGGTAAGATGAACTTGCAGTGGCCGTTTCTGCCTCAGGTCATACACACACTCGGATGATGTCATCTCAGATGAATTAGCCTGTAGGATGTTTTTCCAGTGTGGTATAACACAGCCATCAAGACAGTCTTATCAAGTACTCCCTCTCCGTTGCTGCTGTAATTTACTGGGAAACTAAAAAGTTCCAGAACTGCTGATTATGATTAGAACCAGCATTAGCCATAACCAGCTAACAGCCACGATTAGCATAATGTTGCTCGAAGCAAAATTTTGGGTTTAACGCCCCCCTTCCCTGAAATTCGTTTACTCCCGACCAGGCAAGTAATAATTACGAGTTTGAGCCCCCCCTTGAAATTTATTTCTGGTTACGGGCCTGACCTGGGGTACGTTTCCCAAAAGATCCAATTAGCAATTTACATAGTTAGAACCATTCAGTTAAGTTTCTAACGTCATTGACAGCTATGCTTTTGGGAAACGTAGCCCTGAACAGCACAGGATAAATACGCATACCATACAGATAGCATTAAAAAACAATCATCGCTAATGTAACATTCTGTCTTTGGATTGACCGGATTCACCGTTAACGGTGCCCAGGTGTGCCTACCTGTCGACGCAGGTGCGGGTCCGGCTGCTGTAGAAAGTGCCTAGGGCACAGACGCAGCCCTCCTCGCACTCCCCCCCGCAGTGCTGGGCGACGGCGGCGGACGGGCAGCGGCGCTCACAGGACGACACGCATGTCCCGTACACCATCGTCTCTGGGCAGGTGATGGCTGGGAGGGGGGGGGGCGCGGAGGGGAGAACTGCATCCTTAGGGGTTACCGAGGAAATGACCAGGCACACAAACCCCTACGCGCCACGTGCGCTTACCGCAATCTGGCACATGGGTCCTGAAGTCCACCGTGACGCCGTGCTTCCTGCAGCCGCGGGCGTAGCCCGCCAGAGCCGAGCAGAGGCACGGCCGGCCGCACTTGCACGTGTCGGCCCTGCAGCGCTGCTGGAAGGGCAGCGGGCTCAGGAGCGCGTGGCAGGCCGAGAACGGGGCCTGGTTGAGGAGCTCGCACATCTCGGCCGCGTAAGAAGCTGGGTGCACACAGGCACAGCGAGCATGTTTATCAGGGTGTGTCTCTCAAGCCATGTAGCAAAACAATCAGTCTAATATAAAACAGGTTTGCTAATCAATACGCTTTCAGCTGCTCTGGGAATAACAGGGAAGGAGTGGCAGTGATTCTGTATCCATGTTTATGTGTATGTCCTGTAAACTGAACGAAAGCCATTACCTCATGAGTGGAAGTGTAATCTGAATAAATGTAGAGATCGTTTCCACCGGGAGCACAGGGCAACAGAGAACCTCTTGTGCTGCCCGGATTTGTTTTGGTGGAGCAGAAGGGCGTGGGGATTCGTGGGACGAGGGGCGAGGCCAGGGCCATTGTCACAGCCAGGGGGAGCAGGGCGGGGCCTCTGGAGGCGTGGCAGTGGTGGGGAGGGGCTTACCTGCCTGCTGGTGTGTGTCGCACGGATCGAGTTGCGGGACGCTGGGGCTTTGCACGCAGGCCGAGGACAGTTTCCAGGAGTTTCCGAACAGCGGTGGCGTGCTCTCTATCATACCTGAGGGGGAGCTGAAAATACGGATAGGAACAGGGGAGGGGGGGGGGCTTTAAAGGCTGAAGCAAAATTGCAACTCCACCCAAAAATGACATTAAGGGCATCCTGTTCACTGGTGGATGCCATCCGAAGGGAACTTGGTCACGCGCTTCATCTGATGACATCAGGAGATAATTCACTTTGTTAGAATCTGGTCTGAAAAGTCTTCACGTCAAATTCCATCAGCACAATCTTTTTTTTTTTTTGAGCACATTTTCCATTTACATATGAAGAATGACTTACGAAGGTCTTGAATTTCATTAAAATTTAAATTTTCAATGCACCATTCTGCCGAACTGACAAACACTACTAAAAGATATATCTCCTCTCGTATGGAATAAAATGCATAGAGTTGAGAAACATACCTTTACACCGAACATACCGTCCATGACAGAAGCATCTGCTATAGTGTGGGTTACGTTATTTTATTTTAGGCTACAGCAGAGCTGGGCAGACAGCCCAACTACACAAATGCTAAGTAAAGGCTCTGACTTAACACTGCTTGGGGGGGGGGAGAACTACAAGACCATGCGGAAGAGCTTACAAGAAGTCATCTTGACTGTTCCCATTGAAGGTGCCACACAGCCCCACGGTGTCGTCCTTCCAGGACTCGTCCACCTGCAGGTACAGCCGGAACTCCCCCCAGTTGTACTGCAGAAGGAGCCCGTGGGCTGCCCTCACCTGCAGGAACATGGAGGACAGCTCCTGGATATGAAACACCTCTAGAGAACAAACAGAGGCACTGGTTAGTTTGGCACCTCAGCGTGGTACATCTGTATCAACTGAACAATGTGCAGTACTGGAGGGATCCCCAGCCAAACGTGTAGGCCACAATATTTATAGAAGATCATTACCTTACTACCTAAATTATACCCATTTATGTGTGAAGCCTTAAGAGACCAAGCAGAACAGCACTTATTACTGACTGCTCATTGTAAGTTACACAGTTAAAGAACTGTTCTGTACTAGCATGTAATTACTGTACTGCAGATTCTGTACTGGATTTACAAGGCATATCTTCTAATATTCTTGTGTGTTTACATTTTAAGTAGCACATTTTATCAGCATTCAGTCTTTAGAAAAAAATTCTATGATAATAATATAGTATTAAACATCTAATGTCTGTTGTGGAATTTGTATTAAAATCTTTAAAGAATCTGTCAAAAAAATCTCTCAGACTTACTAAGACCCACCGCAGAGCCTATACAATTCAATACAGATGTAACCTGACAAACTAGTAAAAGGGGACAATAAGAAAAATATGCCACAAGCAACTTGAGTAGCGATAGACGAATACAGAATAATCACTAAGGTCGTATCGCTTTATCCTGTTTTGAAGCTATTCTGGTATTACTATCCCTCTTAGTTAGCTGTTATTGTTAAGATGCTCCGCACAGAGATCCAGCCACACGCTGCATCCATCACGTTAGCGGCAAACATCCCACTGATATGATTGGCTGGCAGCTCCTGCTCTTCGCACATATACTTTACATGCAGGAGTCAGTTTCTCCACTTAAGCATCATGAAGAACTTGAGCAATAACAGGAGTCGGCATGGGAAAGAGGGTTTCCCGCGGAGCCGCATAATGCCACGTTTCTTCTGCGGGCCTTTGTTCCATTGAGTCCGTTTGCAGAGAGGCTGTCACCCAATCCAGCTGAGCCATCTCCGGACTGCGGCGGGCGTGCGGCCGAGAGTGCAGAGCAAGGGCAGCGGGTGCGAGGTTACCGTCCAAGTAAGGCAGGGAGATCCTGTACTGGCCGGCCACGAACACCTCGCCCCCGTGGGTCATGGTGACTTCGGCCTTTGGGTCCTCATCCATGACCACGGTAACAGACTGGATGCAAGCGCCATCGAGATTCTGCAAGGACATTGGTAATGATGGAGCATTTCAGGGTTTACTCAGGGTTTATGTTCATTCAAGATCATTCATTCAAAGCTCAAGTAAATTAATATAACATAACAAAAAAATACTGATTCTCTCTGAGAGTATATGCTGTTGTAGAGTTGACTAAATGTGAACGACATGCAATAAAGTCAAGTTTTATCATCCAAAATGTTGTTTTTGTTGTCAATATAAATCAGTTATATGTACATCTCTGTTAGCCTCTCCCAGGAAAAAAAAAATCACAGGAATATCCCTGTTTTCAGGTCTGTCAGCTGTAATTTGCAAGTTTCTTCGCTACGAGAGCCAATCCTGAACAGAACACAGCATACCTATGTAAGCAAAGCTGGTTAAAAGCAGCAGTTTTGATCGTTATCCAAGTGACACTGTAACAGCCAGGGAAATTCAACCTGGCAGCGAATTATCAACCCGTATGAATTCTTCCTTTCATAAGTGCCGCGGCTGACGATCAGTCGCGGGCATCACTTGGGCCGCTGTCCTTCGCGGAATCTCTCCCACCGAAAAGCACTCTCCATCGAGCCACTACAAAGACCTTCACTCCGCTGCTCGGGAGGCAGATAAGGTAATCCAGAGCAATTTGCCGTCTGATCGCCTGTCCGGAGAGTGTCTGATACTGTATTACAGAGCTACTCACTGGATGCTGAGTTTTGGCATCAGTGCCTTAGAGGCCTGCAGCAAAGTGGAGGCATTTAGACGGCGAGGACGCCGGCCCTTTGTGTCGCCCCATGTTTTATCTAACATGGCTGTGGAGGGTTTGATCATGACACAACTCTACTGCAGAAGCCTCTTTATCTAATACCCCCCCACCCCATCCCGCACAATTACATTAAGTGCGATGCTGCAAAATGCTTCCCATAAACGCGCAGCCACAAATTCTGTTTTTGTGCAGTAATTGCGGCAGGATTCACCGAGGGCACCGGACTGTAACCGAATGCCCTAACAGGGACAGACGCCGCATTCATTAGGACCTTTACATCGCTCTGCGGGGGAATTAAACTGGACGGTCGGTGATGAGGGAAGACACGGGCGTTCAATTTACACTGATATGAAAAAACATATTTCTTACTATTCGTTCAACTTTCACAGTCTGCCAATAGATAAAGTTGTATCATCCCAGAATGACCTTACAAATGAATTTTACATATAGTTTATTGTTATTTGGCTGTGTGTTTTACTTCAGTAACCTTGTCCTAAGCGCTTGCCTTCCTTCTGGTCACATGACCAGGCCCATACCCCCCCACACCCCCTGCCGGCCAGTTCTACCTTGCAGTGAAATCACAAGCGGTCCGGAACTCACCGGTCCACATGGAGTATTTTGTATGGTGACGGTAAACCTCCCCGAGTTGCGGCTCTTGGCCAGGACGTACTGGCACGTGGCATGGAAGGTGTAAACGCGTCCGTCGAAAGTCTCGAAGTGAATGTCTCCCGTGACGGAGCACTCCCCTGCCAGGACACGCAACGTCAGAGTTCGCCAACCGCACAAGCTAAAAACTCAACTTGTGGATAGTTGGGTGAGGTGTGTGTTGTGGAGGGGGGGTGGGATACATCACGTACCTGGACAGCTGTGCTCTGAGCAGTTCCACAGTCCCCCCAGGCAGGTGCTGAAACCACAGCGAAATCACGGAGATGTCAACAGGTGGATAATGGCGCCATCTGAGATTGGTGCTGAGCTGGGGGGGGGGGTATGGGGCTCACCAGGTGTTGCACTCCTCCTGGATGGTCTGGCCCGGAAGGTAAACCATCCCGTGGTGCTCACAAGGGCAGTCTAAGGCCTTCATGCAGCTGCCGTTCTTGTAGATCTGATCTGGGAGTACATGGGCATGCCAGGTTGGCGTTGGGCCAAGGCGAGGCGGGTCGGAGGCCCGGCAGCCTCAGATACCCCTTACGAGGCATCGCCCCAACCTCACCTTCGCCGCAGTAGCAGCCGTCCAGGCACTGCAGCCTGCTGTCGATGCAGAGGCGATCTACACTGCAGGACACTGGGCAGCATGAGATGCACTCCTGGTAGATCAATTCTGGGGGACACGAGACGACTGCAGAGAATAGAGGTGCCAACAAGCCATCATAAGAACATAAGAACATAAGAAATTTACAAACGAGAGGAGGCCATTCGGCCCATCAAGCTCGTTTGGGGAGAACTTAGCTAATAGCTCAGAGTTGTTAAAATCTTATCTAGCTCTGATTTAAAGGAACCCATGGTTTTAGCTTCCACTACAATAGCAGGAAGACTATTCCATACTCTGACTACACGCTGTGTAAAGAAGTGCTTCCTCAAATTTGTTTTAAAATGTTCTCCCGCTAATTTCCACTTATGGCCACGAGTTCTAGTATTTAGACTAATATTGAAATAGTCATTTGGCTGAACAGCATCCAGACCCGTTAGAATCTTATAGACCTGAATCATATCCCCCCTTAGTCTCCTTTGCTCAAGGCTGAACAGATTCAGTTCCGTTAACCTCTCCTCGTAAGACATTCCTCTAAGACCAGGAATCATTCTCGTAGCTCTTCGTTGCACCTTTTCTAAGGCAGCAATGTCCTTCTTGAGGTATGGTGACCAAACCTGCACACAGTATTCTAGGTGGGGTCTTACCAAGGACTTATATAAGTGTAACATCACCTCTGCGCTGACTGTGTGGATTGGCATTTATGCTGTTGTGAATTAGCCTTGTGCTACAAGAATATCAGTGACATATGCTCACAACCCCACTTTCCGAAAAATAAGATCACAACCAGAGAGCCATATGGGGGTGGGATTAAGAACAGGGGCCCTAGAAATTGAAACATAATTTGATTGGTCTGGGAAGGGGGTGTATTATGGTATTTTTTCATGGGGCCCAGAATCTCTAGCAGTTCTGACAGCACCTCTGATCACACCTTGACTTTCCCAATTAGCTCAACCTTCTGAATTAACTAGCTACCACCCTAACCAGGGAGACTGGTTAAGCCAGGAAGAATCAGAAGACAGGAAGCTGAAAAACTCATACCACACTGCGGCATATGGTCCCGCCAGCCCTCTAGGGGGCGCTCAGCATGGGCACAGGCCCTGGCGTATTCCGTCAGCACCTGACACACTGCCTCATTATGCGAACCCAACCTGATAACACACACAAGGTTAGAAAAAGTTTACCTGTGTGAAATGTCTTCCCACCAAATCTTATGGTAATCACTAATGGTGCTTCAGCAGGTTACAGCAATTGAGAGATTAAATGTGGGAAATAAAGCAGAACAAGTAGCAATATCATAGTTCTTACCCAACAAATCTAAAGGCTAAGGATTAATTAACATGAATTAAAATAAAATGCGGAGGGTTATTTATAATCGGATGGTATTTTAACACATACCTTGGTAAAGAGGATCAATATCAAAAATCTCTCAAACAAGGAGGGGTACATTTATGGAAATTGTGAGAAGCAACAATGACCCTGATAGCTATGGAGCCTATTTTATATATTTTAAATTACTCACAGGCAAAGATCATTTGAGCAACTGGCCATGTAGGGAAACGGGCTCACAAACTCGTGGCAGCTCTTAAAGGGATCCTCAAGCAAAGATGCACACACCTCCATCACTTTCTGAAGAGGAACAAGGAAGTCAGAGGTAATGTAAGCCCAGTGCAAATCAGCTACTAGGCTGAGCAAGCTATGTAGATAACCAGCGCCTCCAGTTTCAAGCTGAGGTCTTGGTGGAAGAGTAGTGGAAGAGGCAGGCAGAGCCCGGTACCTGCAGCGTGTTGGGGTCGAGCGCAGAACATGGGGAGGGATAGCGGGAAGGTACCAAGGGACAGGCAGCCCGCTGGGGATCCACGTCCATCCAGCTGTTGCCAAACACGGCCAGGTCCTCAGTGAACAGCCCTACAGAGTGTGGTCGACACAGATCAGTGCTCTGAGCATATGCCGCCAGTGGCTCTTAAAAGGACGCCTTGTGTCCCTGTGCGCCTTCAAACCAATGATGCAGTGACTTAAAGGGTAAAGAGTAAAACTTGACACTGGAACTAACTAAAAACAAAATGAACTTTGAATCAAGTCAGTTGTTGCAGAAGACAAATGTCATATCTAAATACCAGGGTAATTGAATTCAATAAAGGCTTCAAAAATATATTTAAATAATAATAATAATGAAAAACGATATTGTATGGCCTCAGAACATTCTATATCTGTTCTCTGGTGTCCGGAGAACATCTGAGATCCACCAACCATAGCTGGTTTTGAGGTCATCCTGGACGTCAGCATTGAAGTTCCCACACAGACCACAGGTCCTGCCCACATACTCTGGACTCATCTTGATGTAGACAGAGGAACTGTGGCCCTCCCAGGCCAAGGTAAATCCATGTGGCTGCGTCACCAGAATATACTGGGATATCCTTTCTAGCTCGACGTCATGAACGCTGTGTGGGAGCTGCAAGCTGGAAACGGAAAGTGCGAAAACCAGATTATCATCACACTTGGCATTTTGTGTGGACAGCAAAGAAATTGCACAGAGAAATGCACTTTTCTACTGTACATATGGTAATAAAAGCTTTGAATCTTGAATCACTGTTTTTCACATCGTTTTGCAAGTTGACCATTGAGGGGGGGGGGATGGGGGTGGCAATAATGACAGGGGCCCTAAAAATTGAAACATAACTGGATTGGTCTGGGGTTTGCTGTCAGAAGTTTCTTATGTATGCATTATATGGTCATGGTCATTGCCAGAGGATTTGAAAATCGGGGGGGGGGGGGGGGCGGCTCAGCCCCGTGAATAACAAGCTAAACATCATAGACTTATTTTGCAGTGGATTAATTTAGATAAATATTAATACCAAATACTATTTTTTTTTCCTAATTTACAATGACAAAGGAACGCAGTTCAGCCATTTTTGATCTTACCAGCAATGAATAGATGCGTCACAAACTACAGCTTTTAAATTCAATAAAAAGGGCGGGAGGGAATCTGAGGTAAAATTCACCGCGGAAACTGTGATCGTTGAGTTTCAAAACTTCACAGAAATGTTTTTAAAATATATTTATTGTAATTGATTAATTGTATGTGGGTTTAGGATAGGTTTAGGTTAGGTTATAATCTCAGTTGTTCTTTTTGAATGAAAAAAAATTAGAGAGGTATAAAACCTTCCGTTCATTTAGCTGATGAAATTAGTAAATACATCCTTTCAGTCTTGTACAGAAATGATTGTTATTATGATTATAATGATTTGGGTTATTTCTGTAAAATTTGGGTTATTTTTCAAAGGATATTTTTAGACATCCTGAGGTAACATAACACGCTCCTATTACTGGTATGTATTGTCACATGAGTTCAGCGTAACTTTATTGCATTGGCTACTTAAAAACATTGTTTTCCTTTTCATGTTATTAAGTTTTGTAAAGCTTCATAAATTTCCCGCTTTAGCTAGTCGTCTCAATATATACCTTCGTTTTCCTTTTACGGTTATGAAGCTAAAGCCCCCCCTAAAACAGGCCTAACGACGCCCCTGTTCATTGTATCGTTTATGAACCAGGACGCAGTACAATGCCATGGTACAGCAAACTGTGATTACCTCTGTCCTCTGAAAGTTACGTCGTGCTTTTTCAATCTGATCTCCCCCTCCCATGGCAGGAAGAGGCTGACTGATCGCGCACATGAGTACGGCGATCTGGGACAGTCGGGATCATTGTGCACCTGTGCAGACATGGCACTCTCATGGAGAAATCCTCATGGCTGACTGTAGGAGAGTCTCCAAACATCAAAGCGCAATCTCCAGACTCTACTGTGCTGACACAAAACATCCATCTCCAAGAACAGCCCTTAGGCAATCAGATTTACTCGCGTTTGATTGGCAGGTAAATGATATTAAGTAGACAATGGCAATAAATTCTTGGCTCAAGCCGGATCCCATCCTCTTTCCCATGGACTAATTCCTCTTAGTGGGTCCCCAGACAAAGTAAATTTTGTTCTAGATGTTCTAGAGTACCAGGTGAAGTAGGTAATTACAGCATTAAATGGTAATTGACATAAATGACTGTAATAATGAGATCGCTTTCACTAATCTGCTGGGTAAATAACATCCTGTGGCTAAGACAGTAGAACCAACATGGCGCTTGCTTCCTGAAGAGGGAGCTCAGGGAATCTGCGTTCTATGAAGGAGAAAATGATCAGAGCAACAATAATACATCCCTTACTATTATTGGAACGGGAAAGGTTTCCCATGCCGTACTGGTTCATCTACAACCCACTTGTTCGAAGAGAACTTTTTAATACATAATATTTCTCTTTCATTCTGGCACGACACCACAAGTTATAACACATTGCTCCATTTCCACCATTTTTTACAACTAAATTTAAGTCCTAAAATGTACTATAACTAGGCAAGACAGATTTTTTGTCTTTATTTGCAGCCTTTATTTGCAAAAATTTGTAGTTTATTAAGTTTGTGGTTTAGTCCACTTGCACATATCAATTGTTTTAAAAATGATCATCCTTGCTCATGTTTGGAAATTATAACTTGGGTGTTTGCTTGAGAAGTTGGCTGCTTAGTAAGCTAGTGCTCTGCCTACGGCTGTATGTCAGCATTTATCTTTCCACCAAGTCACACCATAAACCGAATATATCCCCAGCACAAATTGCATAATTAAAATTTTCTTTGCAGTGTTAAAACTAGCTGACCATTATCCGCTTATACAGGTGTGCATTGGTACACCACCCAAGACAAGAATCAAACCTACAACCTTCTAGATAAAGGCATGGCTGCCCACTGACACGAGACGCTTCACCTGCCTTTTGGGTGTGGTGTCATGTGTCATGTGACAGATGGCTTACCCGCACATTGCAAATGACCACAGACCATGACAAGTAAATAAAAAGAAAAGAGAAAATGAGAATTGGGTCTTAATGCGCACTTCACCTGGATGACAATGCTGGACTGCGTAGTTTCTTCACAATCTCGGACCAGGGTGTAGGTGCAGCTGCCTGGGAAGTAGTAGTATAGCCCATCGAAGGTCTCGTAATTGTACTGTCCCCATGTCCGGCAGGTCATCTCCCTTTCCATCCCCGAATTCGGAACTGCCACAATCAATCAGGAACATTTAAAAAGACTTCAGCACAACATATTCATGAAACCGTTCTTAGCTATATCGACCACCAGCAAACAACTGTTTGTTCAGGGCATCTGAAATAAGTGTGCTGATCTACCAAGCAGAAAGTGAAGTCAAAGCAGGTGACGAGGTGGTTTGCTGTAACCTGTCTGGCAGCGGATTCCGGTTGCTTGGTATAAACTGCAGTTGCAGGAATTTGCATGGCCGCAATGGCCTCCGTTCAGACAGCCGACCCCACAGGTTTCTGAAAAATGTTGAGTTCATGGAATCGGAATGCAAATTACATTCTCTCAAATAAAAATCCAGCACGCAGTATGTTTATAAGTCAAAACTACACCTTTAAATGTAAAGTCAATACAAGTAATTGAAAACGACTTTTAATATGCCCCACAGCAGCTGACCTTTGAGTCATCAATATGGATAGGTCAGATAAAGCCTGAGTCATTGCAGGCATTTAGCTCCGGCTAACGACGGCTCGCTAACGTTGCCAACATATGGCAGGTGGCGGGAAGAGACAGCTGGAACGCTATCGCTGCATTCAGCCCGCCGCGCTACAGCGACGCATGGCGTCAGACATCCCTCGGACAGGGCGAGAGTCGGAAGATCAATGGCTTCGCCTCTGCTCTCTCACGTCTCACCGTAACCCGGGGAGACGTCGAAACAGAGAGGTCAATTGTTTTGCCATTGACAAACACCGAAACTTGCCCTGAGACAGCCCACCGCACATTGACTGCATTTTATTTGGTTTGAAAGAAGACTGATTCCCATTATCTTCAAAACATAGAGATACTGTATTATGGGCACTTAAGCCATGATGTTTTTCCTGATTAGGGCTACCGAGGCTATGGAAATGGCAGCAAATGCTGATGTAGGCAATTACGCCGACTCCATTTTCAGAGATAATGTCAACCTTTGTGTGAAGAGACGAGACTGCCCCCCACCCCAGGTACCTGTGGCTCTGCGCAGTGACGGCTTCACAACTTCTTCTGAACTGGAAGATGTGTTGGTAGATACTGTGGTAGCTGCTGAAAGTACCGCCTTTTCACAGCATTTTCCAGCATAGGAAAAAAAAATTGTGTTAACAGATGCCAAAACTACCTCCATGCAACTTTTGTGTTTATCCCAGTATTCCCTGTTGTGAGCAAAACAATCAAACTATTCGGGCTTATGATCAGATAGCATTAGATGTACATTTCCCTGCTGCCAGTTGAGTGCTGGGCCAATATCTTGGAAAGAGAAGAATGTGTCGTTTTCAGCAAACCAAAACTAAGCCGTTGTAACTGGACCTACATCATTTAATTAATTGTGTTAGCGTTTTTGCCCTGTAATCAAAAAGCACGGCATTGGGGACCATGCTGAGCTCTCAGGTGACAGATTAATAAAGAAACAGATTAAATGCAAGACTTTGAACCGCATCATGTAGGCCTACCCCCTTTTTTAATTCCACACAGATTTAAGACTTTACCAAATAAATCCTTTGGTTCAGGAATAAGCTTAAAAAGTTTTAACTTTTCTTTTTACTAAAGTCAACGAAAGCAGAAGGAATGTATTATAAACGGGGCTTCTAATTTTTTAAAGTTAAAATTTTAATATTAGAAGTGATCTGAGAAAACCAAGCGGAGACATAAGGCTGCGCTCAAGGGACAGATTGAGAGCGCATCGCTGGTCATAGGAGCCGCCGGGCCGGTTCGCCTTGGATAACCCAACGAAAGCGAGCTGCTCTCTCCTCTTGTCAGCGAAACACAGAATGAGTCGAATTTGGGGAAGGAGCTCAGTTGCCTGATTTAGGTCACTAATGTCATAGTAATAAAGCAGGATTTGGACAAGATGAATTGCATTTACTTGAATTACAGTTAATTACGTTTCTTTTAACGTTTTTTTCCCGTTTACATTACTCCTCTTCAAGTCTAACATTGCGGATGCACTTGCTGATCCCACGTATGTTGCACAATCGACTGTAACTCAGCTAACGGTCTGCGCCTACTGATCCACGCGTGTCATTTTCAATTTTTAGCTAGTTAAACCAACGCGTGTTTTGAACTCCCTCGCTTTCCTATTCGAGTCAATAAAATGGAAATGAATGATGAATATACATGATCATACAAATAAATATGCGACGCTAGATGAAACATTATCCAAGGAATTGCAAACAAAATAAGGCGAGTAGGAGAGAGAGTTATACCATGAAGTTAGATATGTTCCAGCTATGAACCCGATAATTGTAACTTTTATGACATTGACTCCTTCTGATGTAGATACTTTTCTGTTTGTTCTATGACACTTCAAGATATTTTACATATTTACTGGAGCTGCTATTTAATGTAGCTGACATGCTCTTTCAATGCAGCGTTTCAAATCAGTAGCCCTAGAGCCCTACCTTCGCTCCTTGGGAACCGGTATCCCGTTTCGGCACCATTATACTGCTGCTTCTGCTGTTGGGAAAAGGAGAGAACAAGGCACGGTTTGTTCCTCACGCGCAATCGGCATTTCTGTCGGTCAGGAGGCACACATAGACTACAGGCAAAGAAATAGGCATGATCTATTAATACAGCCAGAATTAAAGTTCTTTGAAATGCTGGTGAGGTGAAAATAAATTTTGGATTACATGAAAGTAAGTACATTCAGAAAACAGACAGAAAACGGACACTTATACATCTTAAACAATTATAGTTATGTTCGATTAAATACAAGGATGACAAGAATATTTCTAGTATATATCATATAGTATGAGTGATCTACTCTGCAGTTCCACTTACCTTTCCAGACCATGCCAGTAAGTTAAATTTACGCTGTCAGCGCTCCACGACACTGCTGTGGATTATAGTAAGTGGACATGAATAACAAATACATTTTACTGATTTTTATTTGAGATATCGTTCTAATTCAATCAGACGAATTGTAAATGTCATTTTGCAAAAGGATTAAAATTAACAGATAAATCGCAATGCATTCATGACAATCCATCCACAGATGCATCGCGTGTACTACAAAACTGCAATAATTAATTACACTTCGACTTACCTTGATTAATTAGTATAAAAAGAAATAATAAAAAATTCCCTTTCCGCTTTTTGGTGAGACCTAAATAAGGATCCATTCGTGATACATATGATCCACGTTGTGGTGGAATCACTTTCTCTCCAAATCCAGTGGAAAAAATAATTTAACTGCAACAAATACGCATTTTTTCAGAAATTATCTGGAGATTGTTTGTTTCCACATTGGTTTCCACAAACTCTCGTGTTAGATCTGGGGGCATCATTGCTCCTTGGTTAAAGGATGACGGGTCCCACCTATTAGCATAATACATTCAGACAGGTACCTTCCGAATATGCAAATGAGTACGTGCTTAATCGCTACAGAGATCTGAATACAGGGCAACGCTTTCTCACTCGTATTTATGTATAATTTATTCAGCGTTACTAGATTCCTAAAATTTAATAAATAAGGTATAGCAAATCGTCCGGTTAGTTAATTGGCTAGATTTTGTTCCAGTTATATAAACTTAAAGAATATGCGTTAGTCGTCGGTTCGTCGAATTAAGCTCAGGACATTGTTTGTAATAACCAATAAACGTGTTATTATCTCGCGAATTATTCGAAATAATCTTCATAAATGGCCTTACATGAACCTTAATGCCGAACATTACACATTCTTTAAGAACATATACTTTCGTGCCTCAAATTGGCTGGATAAGGTTTGGCGCCTTCTACTGGTGTGTGATTGCAAAACGATTAACAAAACCTTCTCCTCCCGGGGTTTAAGAAAGTTGACTTAAATATTATTGTAGTTTTTTTTTTGTACTGAACAGTTGGCCATTGCAAAGGGTTGCATGGACAATAAGACGAATATAGCCTACTACTACTACAACTACTGCGTTAATATAAATGCATATACTGGTATTTTTAATGGACTGTGGGGCAGCTCAGGTCCAGATGTTGCCTGATAAAAATGGGCAAAATAATCCGACCAGCCAAGAATGTTTTGCCAGTTTGCGGGAGGACTGGCTAAATTTTGCTGGATAATTTGTTATTTTGGGGTTGCCATACTGGAGCTTCTGAAAATTTCAAATATCTCCTACTTCTTAATGGTTTTCTTTCAAAATGGTTGATTTCAGGCCATTTTCAATCGATTTTTAAAAAAGTTTAAGCGGGAGATGACTCCACTATAGCTGTGCCATGGAGCCGAGAGTAATGCGTAAAATGGCAGAACTTAAATTATTTTTAGGGCTAAACATAAACATGGATGCGTGAGAAAACAAAAGGCTTGTAGTAGTGCAGGAGAATCAGTTCTAATTCATAAGACTGCAGGTCTGAATAATATCGCTTATTAGTATAGGTGTTTTCATATTTATCTATTTTTCGTCTCTAACTGACGGAATATAGGCCTATAATGGAAAGCATCTCCAGAACACACTAACAGTGCTAACTCACGTTGCAATACGGGCTAAAGACATGCGCTCCTGAGTCTGCGTGGAGTTTATGAATCGCCCTGCCGGGCATCACGCCGACACAAAGGCGACACTTTGAGCTACACTCCACCCAGCGTCCGAGTAGCGCATTTACACGGTGACCGAGTGACGATCGCCCTTCCTGCTACGCCTAGAAAGGACTCGCGCTATCTGCTCAGCCATGGAAAGAAAGGTTGCCCGGGAGTTTAGGCACAAGGTAAGAGCATTTATTCTCTTAATGGATTAATAGAATGCGGTTATTGAATACAACGAATATGAACCAATGACGTACTGCGGTTTGAAAGGCTGCTTCGAAGAAGCAGGTGATGCCCTATGAACCCCTTATCCCGGTAGAGGGGGATGGGTACACTTTTCGTCTGTATCACATTATACAGTTCCCCGCAAAAAGGAACATGACATAAGGTAACTGCGACATGCAGTCGTCGGAATACCGTCTGTTCCTGCATGGATTACAGATTAAAATTTGAGATGACATTCAATATGAGCAAGTGTTTGAGGGAACAGATTTGATAAATTAATACAACATAACTGACCATATTTTAAGTCTATATGACCGTTTTATATGATCTTGGTTAAAAAGCTGACAAATCCTGAATTACTGCATAATACCCTACATTAGAAATTACCTGATGACGTATTTAGGAGCTCTTCATAGTAGTTTCTGATTGGCTATTGTCGCTAAGGTGTAGACCGTCAGGCGCAGGTAACGAGTCACCTGGGCCATTGATCTTCTTGACTTAAATACAATTCTTCCTGTTTCGTGTTTTATTTTGTGATTGAAAAGCAAAAATTTGGTCAAGTGTTTATTATTTTTGTGACGCCGGATCGGCTGCGATGGCAAAAAAATGGAACGGACGGAAGGGTCTTGCGCTTCAGTGGTCCTGCCCTGTTACTCTGCCCCGTTATTCATACTGGCGACGTCCACAATGGCTCGTTCACTGGCGGATAATTTAGAGGCGCTTTCAGAGGCGTTCAGCCAGGCGGAATGGAGCGGCTGATTTACTGCGGCTCTCAAATGGGAGTAGCGCCAGTGCGTATAATACGAAACGAAAAGATATCCGAGGGATTTATTTAGCCCTTTGCTGAGGTTTTACTGTTTTGTAAAAGTTAATTATATATGTATAAAATATTGATCTAATATGCATATAATTTATAGTTGTCTAACAGAAATTCCGGAATATTACAAAAGCATAAATACATTTAATCACCATGAGTCACTATCCTCCATAAAGCAGAATCTCACCCAGAATGTTCTCGCAGTTTGTACTGTCTTCTTGCTGTGACCTGATACTGGATGAGCAGTTGAAAGAACGATGTATGGGTGGATAAAAAATCATTAAGGTGTACACTTTTTTTTAATAATACTGGGATTTATACAATGACAATCCCACCAAGAATAAAAAGAAAAACTATTACAACACAAAGACATTGAAAACTTAAGTACTGTGAAAGAGTCCTGTCTTTATTTTTCCATTATAAAAATCTGTCTCTACTTTATTGAATTTAACTTAAAATGCAAATCCATGCATACCCTTCATTTTACGTCCAACTTCCCGATGCTTTCATGTATAATGTGGGCTCTTACTATGATTTTGGACTGGATTACATTTCTAGAGGTATTTCAGAAGATACTTTGTTTTGCTTTGGATGGCTACGAATCTCCCTTAGGTATAAATAGGTTTGTCCACAGACCGGACACAGACCGTCTGTGCTGTAAGGTGACACCGCTGTAATCCATCCTTCCTCGCGTCATGCGACGTGGGAAGCGTCTGTTTGTGGCAGCCCAGTAGAGACTGAGGGCTGCCACAGAGGCCGGGATCTGAGTCAGAGGACTGGCGAGTGTCCCATAGGCAGCCAGAGAGCATCCTGTCTGTCCACATGCGTCCGTGGTGAGGCCGTAGAAATGTGCTACATCAGTGACTGGCCCAAGCGTTTCCTCAAAACGTTTGTGCAGCAGTATAGCCGCTATCAGGTAAGTCACCATTAAAGGTCTGCTCTGCGTATTTCTCATTGAGGCTGGGAGCGCCGTGTCCTAATATCTAAAGTATGGTTGTGGAAGCCCCCCCCCCCCCACCTTGGTTATGACAGCTGTGTTATCTCTGACTCTCCAGAGCTATGATCAGACTGTCCAAAGGTTTGTTTGTTTTCTAGGTGGAGCTGCTGATAGACAATGAGGCAGAAAAGGACTACCTGTACGACGTGCTCCGAATGTACCACGAGTGAGTGCGTTCCCGCCGCTTGAGCCCGGCGGACATCTCCGCCATACGTATGATTAACGACCTTACGGTCCAGCGCTATGGGGATGCATGAATTCTGAAAATCTGTGAAGGTGGCAGTTGGTTCTTAGCGTGCTATATGGAAAGGAAACATTGTCCTCCATGTTCTTTTCTGGCATCTTGTGGTCCTACCCTTCACTCAGTGTTCCTGACTCGTGCTTCTAGTGGGCAACAGAATTGCAAGGGACTGTTGGGATATATGGTTTCCATTGAGTTCAGCACTATAAAAGCAGCTGAATGAAGTGAAATGTAGCTGCAGAGCAAGTTTCCATGTGATCTTTGTGGGGGGGAACGTAGTTTTGTTTCACTCCAGTCAGGTGTCCAGTTCTCCTCCTTTGCCCCTGACCCAGATGAACCCTCTATTCAGAAAAGCCTTTGCTTCTGATATGCGAGTCACCAATGAAATAGCCAATGTAAATAATTCAGCATGTCAGCAAATTCATAAGAAGCCTTCGTACAAAGCCTCTGGTCAAGCCTGGTACCGTTTTATTTTATACATTTCAAGCTTTCGTAGTTTTCCAAAATAATCCCAACCATAGATGCTCTGTTTACACTCTTCCTCAGATTGGAGGGATTTTACAATTAACTATTACACCATGTAGCAAGGCATTGAATATACAATATTTGTAAGTAGCACGATATTCGATAGAACTTGGTTTTAAAGAATGGGACGGCACAGTGGTGCGGGGGTTACCGGTGTCATCTGTGGGATCCGGGTTCAAGTCGCCGCCCATCATGTGTGGAGTTTGCATGTTATCCACAGGTCATGGTGATGTCTTCTGCGGATTCTTTGGTTTACCCCCACAATCCAAAAAAAATGCTTAGGTGAATTGGAAATTGCAAAATTGTGAATGGTGTGTGTGCTCTGCACTTTCAGAAAGAAGGGTAAAAAATTCTACCTTTCCTTGTCACTGGGTCTGCCAATTGTACCCTTGGCTGCTGGTAATTGTACCTTTTAAGGTACAAAAATGGACTCTTATAATAATGATGGTACATTAATGCTGTTTGTACAGCATTATTCCCCAGAGTCCATTTCTGTACCTTACAAGGTACAATTACAGTGACAAGGGTACAGCCCCAGTGACAAGCAAAGGTACAAATTTTCACCCTTTTTTGTGAGAATTTGTGATGTGTTGGTGTCCCATCCTGAGTTATTCTCTGCCTTGTGCCCATAGCTTCTGGGACGTAGCATAGGACAAGTGGGTACAGAATGGATGGATTTAAATAATAGCGTATACCGTAAGATTATGACAAATTTAAAATTCTCTGAATATGACTCCAGTTCGAATCCCATCCAAGATATACCTTTGCCTTATGCCCTTTGTTTCCAGGAATAGGCTCCAGACCAGAGTTGGAAAGTTCAGGTCCAGAAAGTACAAATCCAGACCAAGGTTTTGTTTCAACCAACCAGCTGAGAATAAAGAGTCACCTGTTTCTGGACCTGAACTTTCCTCCTCTCTTCCAGACTGCCCTGTGACCCTCCTCAGGATAATGGGATGGATGACTGCAGCTCTCCCAGGAATCATTGTTTTTTGCAATCCACAGATCCATGGACCTCCCAGTGCTGGTGGGTGATCTGAAGCTGGTGATCAATGAGCCTAGCCGGCTGCCCCTCTTCGACGCCATTCGGCCCCTGATCCCTCTGAAGCACCAGGTGGAGTATGACCGGTTGACTCCTAAGAGGTCACGGTGAGTGTGAGGAGGCCTTGCTTAGAGATTGAAGATATGAAAAAGTTGAACCAAAATGAGGGCTTTTCCTGTTGTACTGGGCTCAGATTAAATTCCCTGATTTCTAGCCAATCACAAGTGTAAGATCAGTGAATTGCCTTTAAAAAGTCCACACCTGCCACAGGTGGGAAATAATGTTGGAACGCAGAAGTGATATCAGAGCTGACTTGAGTGAGAACAGTGCCTGCCTTGGCAAAGGAGAATATGTGAATGAAACTTCCAGCTAACATGGTGAAGGAAGATCAAATCACACCATTACATGGTACAAGCAAAGGACAATTGACCTTAATTAAGAGATAATAAGCATGTAAGTGCAGTGACTGCCTTATCTACCATGCTGTGTATCTTGTTCAGATGAGACAGGCCACTGGTAACTTGATCTCAATCATGCTTTCTGACATAATCGTTGAAAACGAACTTTTTTTTCCTTTTCAATATACTCAAAAGTCCGAGCACCAGCAGAAACGTGTATCTGACAGCTATGTGCAAGAAGCATGAAACTGGTGGGTCACACGACAATATCCCTCCACCCCCCCCCCCCTCCTTGAATGTTCAGGAAACTGAAGGAGGTGCGGTTGGACCGCACTCACCCCGAGGGGCTGGGCCTGAGTGTGCGGGGTGGTCTGGAGTTTGGCTGCGGCCTCTTCATCTCGCAGATCGTGAAGGATGGACAGGCGGACAGCGTGGGGCTGCAGGTGAGGGGGGGGAGGTGGGGGGGGTGGGGTGGCATAGGCAGGTGGGGGGGGGCGGAGGCAGAGAGAGGAGAGGCTCCTGACCTTTCTTCTTGAGCGCTCTTTTTATTAACTAAGTGGTTCTACATGAAAAGTCCTGTGAAGATTCACTTCACAAGGCACATTGGTGAAGGGGGCTTTTAATTAGCCGTGACGCAGCTGTGCTCAGTACCGAGATGAAGTGCCGATGGGAGAGGTCGGGGAGGAGAGGGTCAGCACTATTTTCCACTGGGTTTGACCAAGATACTGGTCTGTAAACATAGCTGTGATTGCTTCAGCTCTCAGAATTTAATTATGCAGCAATTGTCTGCACTTAAATGCCAGCATCTGAAGTTATTATGAATGTGTTTTAATTAACATGAACAACAGTTTTTCCTCATGGACTTTGACTACAGGCATGAATTTGGCAGAGGATAGGGGGTGGGGGCAGGGGGTGGGCATTGGGGGTGCTTGAGCACCTGTTCCTTTTGCCCAAAGGCTTGTACCTGCCTATATGGGTACTGAGAACCCTTTATAGTTCTGTGCACCAGTGGCACCAACTGGGTCGACAGCTTTTACTATCGCGTACCTGCCACTCAAAAGGTCTCTGCGCAGCGCTGGCTCACAGCAAGTGCCACTTAAGGCAGATTTTTAACCTTGAGGCGCATTGCAATGGTTTAAATAATTTAAGGTATGCAGTTCTGCTGTTGTCCAGTAGGTGGTGCAGAAGACCACATATTTATGCTGGGTAGCAGGCTGATAGATAAGTATCGCAAACCAATCATTTCAGTGATACGCAGTCTTTATTCTTAAGCATGAGCTAGTAAATAAACAGTGAAAGTTGCGAAACAGTCCTGGTAATGTGAATTCACGGTACAATTGCATGAAAAACGTATTGTCAGGAAAAATTAATTCGTCGTTACACACTGAAAGACATTGACTGTGAGAAACCTACTGAATGAGAGGATGGACACCGTATCTGCCTGCTACTTCTCATGGTCCGCGACGACCCCCCGCCCCCAGATTGGTGATGAGATTGTTCGCATCAACGGGTACTCCATCGCCTCCTGCATCCATGAAGAGGTGATCAGTCTCATTCGGACCAAGAAGACGGTGTCCCTGAAAGTGAGGCGTAAGTTTGATGCCGTCCTCTACCTCCGGCTATCAGCAGCTGCCGCTTCATGAGTCCGTAAGACGTCGTACATGAACAGTACCTCACAAAGCAGCCATTTGTTATTCAGAATCACCGTTTTTATGTAGTGTACTGGTAATCACTTTCTGTGATGGAGACACCACTAAACACTCCAGAGGTCATCAGAGAATCATCTAATCAGTTTTATTCACCATGAGTTGCTGTCAATAATTAATGACTGCGGCCTGTTTAATGACGTGCCGCCTTCCAAATCCATGACAGATGTTTCTCCACAGGCTTTCCTCTGAATCATTAATCATCTCAGTCTTATTACAAACAGATAGCTTTGTTCTTTTTGACAATATTTTTACCAGATACTTACTACCTCCATCTTTTTCTGAACAACTAAACCGCAGATAATTTTTGATTGTGTTTAATTAAAGCATCGTTCCTCTTTTACTACAGATGTCGGGATGATACCTGTCAAAAGGTATTGTCTTTTGTCTTTAATTACCATTTTAATTTGTAATATGTGGTATTTGTAATATGTCATCTCTAGCTAATGGATTAGTGAAAGGATTTATGAATCTTGATAGAAATTATTTAGACTAGAGTCAAGCATTGCCTATTAGAAATTTAATTATGCACTATTTTGTGCTGCTGATTAGAAGCTTCGATTCATCTTACTGCTAATGACATAATGAGAGGAGCCTGATTGGGCCAAAGCACTTAGGATGAAACCATAATCAGGACCCTCTTCCACTCCTCTTCTCCAGCTCCACAGATGAGCCCCTCCGGTGGCAGTTTGCAGACCAGTTTGTTTCCGAATCCGGGGTAAAAAAAAGTCGTCCCTCGCCGATTTCCTCAGCCCAGTCCTTTATCGCCAGCCATCACACGCATCTGATGCTGACGTGAACCATTTTAACTACGTGTCAAACGCCGCTTCCACAGGACAAGAAGAGCAGCGTTGCCGGACTGGCGTCAGTCGGAGGAAAGGAGATCAAAGAGAAGAAGGTCTTCCTCAGTCTGGTGGGCACCAAAGGCATGGGGATCAGGTGAGTAAGCAAGAGGTGTGACGTCAGCGCTTCATCACAGCATGTGAAGTTAACCAATGGGGCTCAACCCTGTGTGCCCTCAGCATCTCCAGCGGTCCAATGCAGAAGCCTGGGATATATGTGAGCAACGTAAAACCAGGGTCTCTTTCAGCCGAGGTGGGGCTGGAGGTGAGTCTGACACTGGGGTCTGGATAGCAGAGGTGGATAGTTCAGGTCCAGAAAGTACAAATCCAGACCAAGATTTTATTTCAACCAACCAGTTGAGTGCTCTGTGACCGTGAGTCTTTATACTCAACTGATTGGTTGAAACAAAATTTTGGACCGGATTTATACTTTCTGAACCTGAACTTTCAGCCTCTGGGTACAGGTACAACCCTGGTACAGTTTTGTTCCCCAAGGTACAAACAACATTAATGGGCCCTCAAAGGTACAAAAATGTTCCTCAGAGTCCATAGACTAAAGGTACAGCTGGGGTACAATTGGCAGATCCAGAGGTACAAATTGGTATTTTTTTTGACAGTGCAGCAATGTTAATTAGGCATAAATAAAATGCATTAATAATTTTGTATTCACATTACTCACATTCACATTAATTAGCTCATGTTTTGCATGAGCAGGGGTCATAACTTGTGTAATTGACACACTCACAGGTGATGTGCGGGGAACTGTGTTTTGTAGGTTGGTGACCGGATTGTGGAGGTCAACGGAGTAGATTTCACCAACGTGGATCACAAGGAGGTGGGAGTTTCTGTGGCTGTGTACCACCGACATCTGTTCACCATGACAGAGGGCCGTGTACCAGACATAACGGAGCGCATTGCTTCCTTTGTCCTGGTCTTTGCAGGCTGTCAGGGTGCTGAAGAGTAGCAGAAGCTTAACTATTACTGTTCTAACTGGAGCGGTGAGTAACACTTCAGTCATTCTGCCTTTTCTTAGCTCATAGCTGCTAGCGCCAGAAGTGCTGTTAAATATTCTCCGCTTGTGTAGAAGATGTCTTTTAAAGTCGCCGTAGTTAATTATATGTGCTTGTTAATTTAATTAGTTTCTTCAGAATTAGGCTGCACTATACAATTGGTGAAGCGAGTTAAGTTAATAAATCCTAAGAAAATCATGCGACCTTTGTTACATTTTCTATTGATTGGCGAGCAAGATTAAATGATCCGTCCATCTTCCCTTTTGACTCGATTTTTGAGTAGTGTTCATTAAGTGCACTAAATGGATCTGCGCTTAATGGATTTGCAATTAATTGGTACTTGTCATTTGTCACCACGGTGACTGATTGCCTGAAGGTGATCGATGGAGTTGAGCTGCTTCGACTCTCTTACTCTAACATGGGCCCACTGGCCTCCTACAGGGTAAGGAGCTGTTCATGACGGACGAGGAGCGGCTGGCCGTGGAGGCGCGCAGGGAGCTGGAGCGCCAGGAGCTCATGCAACAGAAGCGGATGGCTCTGGAGGCCAATAAGATCCTCAAGGAACAGCAGGAGAAAGAGAGACTGTGGGTATCCCAGCATGCATCACTGCACAGTGACACTGGACTAGGTTCTGTGTATTAGGAGCATCAAAGCTTGTATTACATTTTCCACTTGTAAGGTAGCACAATATTCAGCTCTTGGAAAAAAAATTGAGACCACTCTATTTTTTAAAAAATCTGGATTTTTAAATTGTGGGTTAATCTCGGTTCTGCTGGCAGAAGGCCACGCTGAGCAGCAGGTTGTGTCCGGATTCAGAATTTCTAAGGCAGCAGTACAGAAGAACAAGATGAAGCAGGAAACACTGGGAACAACCAGAAACCAGCCAGGTAGAGAGCGGAAGCGACTCTCTAAAGCCATAGATGGCTGTTAACTTATCCGACAGATTCTCATGAATCGGAGGATGACATCAAGTGACATTGAAATGGATTGGGAACCATTAAACGGTGTGAAGTGCCCTGCTTAGACAGGTCATATCAGGCTCTTAGAAGCAGGACTGAAGTCCCATAAAGCAAGGAAGAAGCCCTTCATTAATGAGAAACTAAAAATTGTGTTGTGGTCTCTTATTTTTTCCCAGAGCTGTGTTGTTATTTCATAATTGTGGGGTATAGTCTTAGTAGTAAGTATTTCTGTAGTCAGCTCTGCAGAATATAATCTGGTAAACAAATGCTGTTTGCCAGTGTGGCAAAGAAATGAATCAACAATAGGAAGAACTATCCAGGAATGTCCTGTCAGAGCAGCACCATACAGACAGCCGTCCTGAAGTAATGGCTCAAAATAAGCACTGTCTGATACGCTTGCAGCGTGCTGTATACGACCTCGACGAGCCTGTTTTCAGGCTTCTCCATTTGCCGGGTGACAGTCCAGGTTAGGATCACAGCAAAACACCATCTGCTCACACAGGCCGGATTATCTGTAAATGATAAGGGCTTTAATGCATGACCAAATTGCGCGCAAATAAAAGCATTGGTTCATTTTGTGTGCTGGGAGGGATGTTAGGAGTTTGCAGGTGGAATAGGAGTGGGCTGCTGAATTCAGGTGGTGAGTGACTCAGCGAGCTAAGTGTCTTTGGCCGTGATCAGAAGGTCGCCCTTTCGGACCCTGGCCTCGGCAGAACAGTCCAGTGTCCGTGGGCCCGTGAACAGGGCCCTTAGCCCCCAGCTCCAGAGGTGCTAGACATTAGCTGACCCTGTGCTGTGACCCCCCCCCCCAAGCTATGGAGAGATAGATGGGGTAGACAAAGGGAAGAATTCCAATGCACAGTGGTACCTCAGAACTCGAAATTAATCCGTTCAGAACTCCGGACCGAATCCTAAAAAGTTTGAGTTCTGATCGAATTTTCCCCATAAGAAATAATGGAAAACCAATGAATTGGTTCCCGGCCCCAAAAAATGACACCGAAATATGTTTTTTTTAGCATTTAAACACAAAATGAACTGGACAAAACAAGAAAAGCATATACTTTACTAAACACATCTAAGCAAATTTATCAAAGCAGTAGTTTTTAAAGTAAGAAAATAAATGTATCCAAACAATGTGTAAAGTAAAAAAAAAAACAATGTGTCCTGCCCCGATCGTCCGCTCCTTCCGTGTGCCATGCCCCCTTGTTAACCCCGTGTGGAATCCCCGTGTGATCAGCTGTTTCTGGTTATTGTCATTAGTCCTCTGTACTTAGTCCGCGTTTCAGTTTGTTTCCCCAGTCCGATCATTGTATTGTCCGTCTGCGTTTTGGCTGCCTTACCTGTAATTAAACCCCGTATCCCCCGATACCCTGACGTCTGCGCCTTTGTCTCTGTTCCGTCCCCGCTGGGCACAACAATATTTTTATGATTAAATGTATTAATGGTTTATTATTAATATTAAAATAATTAATAAGAAATCTTTTTTTAAATGTATTTTATTATATAATAATAATTACTGTTACTATCATTGTCTAAATGTATTTTTACTGTCTATATGTATTCAGTTAGTGTAAACATGCATGATGCTATCACAGCGAATTTGAGGCTGAGACTGAAGCGTTACCCTTTGTTTCCACTGAGAGAAGTGCTACGTGACTCATTTCCCCGCGCATACAAGTTATCTTAGGTCAGCATTCACAGTTTGACTTCTGAGATTCAGATCGAGTTCTAGGTCGTTTTTTTTTTAACTGGTAGGTTTGACTTTTAAGAAATTTGAGTTCTAATGAGTTTGAGAACTGAGGTACCACTGTACTTCTGCAAATGGCAGATATAGCATTTACATTGAATCCATCCATCCATCTTCCAACCCGCTTATCCTACTGGGTCGCGGGGGGTCCGGAGCCTATCCCATAAGCAATGGGCATGAGGCGGGGAACAACCCTGGATGGGGGGCCAGCCCATCGCAGGGCACACTCACACACCATTCACTCACACATGCACACCTAAGGGCAATTTAGTAACTCCAATTAGCCTCAGCATGTCTTTGGACTGTGGGGGGAAACCGGAGATTTACATTGAATGCCTGTTGTCATGTAGGAGGAAAATGGAGATGTCTCAGAAGACAGCTGAGGAGGAGGAGCGCTATCGGAAGGAGATGCAGAGGTGCGTCCTCACTCCTGGGGGGTGTTCCACGAAGCAGGATTTCTTACTTAGCCAGATAACTTGTCAGATTTAAAGTAGCCTGAGTTAGAGTTAAATGAACAATGATAAAGTCCATTTAGGCCAGGCTACCTTAAATCCAACAAGTTATCCAGCAGAGTAAAGGGATCCCTGGTATCGGGTAAGCATGGCTAAACGTGACGGACGACTGAGACGGCGTCTGTGCATCTGCCCAGCGTGACGAGGCCTGGGATTTTATTCTTGTCCATCCTACACCTGGTTATTTTGGCGAGACGTTTGGAAGGGCAGGTGCTGAAAGCCTTTGAGGCAAACATTAAAGGGTCACTCTGTACCTTTAGAAGGGCAGGTGCCTGCTCTCCACCACTGAAGAAAGGCAGAGAAACCCCATTTAGGAAAACACCTGTGTTTGCCTCACGTTTATTAGCAAGACGCTGGTGGCCTCAGGAAGAGCAGATTCTGTTTGTCATTAATCGCCAGCCGCAGCTGTTTGCAGCCCTTCAAATGTCTCTCCTTCTGTTTGGGCTGTAGCCTGAGTGATACCTGTGTGTGTGCAGGATTGAAGAGGAGGAGCAGAAACACAACAGGGAGTGGGAGGAGGACTGGGGGCCCAGGGAGCAGCCCAGGAGCCCTTCCCCTGCTCCTGCAGAGATCAGCACCCCCCCTGCCCCCAAACCCAAGCGCTCTGGTACGAGCCAGTGGAACCAGTCTTTCCGAAATACTACTGATGGGAAAAGTATCACAGTCCACAAGTGATGGGATTATCATCCACTGTCAGCTGGCCCGTAGGCAGGAAGGAATTTCGAGGGGGGGTGGTGGTCATCCCTCAATTGATTTTGCTGACCATTGGGGGGGGGTCATCGCCATAGATTTCACCAGCCTCGGTGCTAATGCAAATTTGTAGAGGACTTCAAAGCTATATGCGCAATTGGTAACAAAAAAAATGTTTGACTATGTAGCTGTGTGCCTGACTGTCTCAGTCACTGGTTTAACTTTAAACAGTTGGGACCAATGTAGTAATCAAAGTGGAGTGGTTTAGACCAATCAGTAACTGCCAGTGCCCCGTAATCCCGCTCACTTGTGTTCTGTAGCCTCATTTCTCATTACTTAACATATTATCCTGCAGTGGGGTTTATTAATACTTTCTTTAACACTAAAATGTTGTTATTAGGTATAATCCAATAACCCGGCCTGGCAGGATGCTGTCTGGCACAGCTGCGCCTTCCGTTTTTTTTTTACATTTTAGTTCCTTTGCAGAGATCCTTATGGTGCAGTGACTCTGTGCAGTGCCATCTGGTCTTTCAGCACTGTCCCCTGCCCCCCCCTCCCCCCCGCATGCATGTGTGCTCTCTCTGATCCCATTCCCCTGTGTGCTTCTCTGTTGTGTGCTTTGCTCTGTTGGCATCCTCTCCAGACAATGAAACGCCTGCCTGGACAATTGAGGAGGAGGAGGAGGATTGTGAAGAGGAGCAGGCTGGTGGGGCGGAAGTGAGTGGTGCTCCATAGGGATGGGGCTCGTGCCGGCGGCCGTTGCCCGTGGCAACCGTAGATTCCTTTTGACAACCTGGAGGCATTTCCTGTCGTGTACATCTGATCTAACCGTGTACCTCTACTTTACTGCCAAAATTCATTGTTCGCATTGCTGGTTTAGGAAAAGGGATGTTGCCTCTGTGCATGCGTGTGTGATGAGGTCGTTGTTTTCGAGGTAGGGGGGGGGTGCTTTGCAGTGAGCTACCCATATTTTTCCCAGCAGAGGCATCATTTGGCCCAGGGAGACTGTAATGTGTGATGTGGTACGTCTGTGTGTTTCTGTAGCCTTCGGCTGGTTTTATCGCTACGAGGGGAAGTTGCCCACGCTGAGAAAGGTATATGAGCACTGGAACTTTCCATTGCCCTGCACTGCCTGGGGTGTGCGTTCTTCCGGAACTTTCCTGAGCACAGGGCTGAGCTGGTCTTTGGCTTGCTTTGCATGAGATCGATTCCTCCTTTGCAGATGGCCTAAGTACAGTAGTTGTTGAAGCTGCTTATTGTTTTTCAAACTGAACATTTTTTGGTAACACTATACATTAACTGTACCTTCATAATGCATAATGCATTCATAGAACATTCAATGCACCTTCATAATGCATTTATAACACATTCACAGAACATCCATAAGCACATTTAAATATACCTTAACATCCTAACATACCTTAACACAGGGGTCTCCAACTCCGGTCCTGGAGAGCTACTATCCAGTAGGTTTTCTATCCTACCTGGCTTCTGATGAGCTCCTGGTATTTACCCGAGAACAGCTGTTGCTCAATACACTAAATGTACACTAACAGCTTTAATATACACTAATTTCAAACTTTATATGATTATAATGTTTGTTATTATCATATAACATTTATTAATGTATATTAAAGTTGTTAAGATATGTCAGGATGTTAAAGTATTCTCACATGCTGCTTGAATGTTCCATGAATGTATTATAAAGGTATTATGCAGGTGCAGTTAATGTAAAGCATTACCCACTATTTATGTGGCTGAAGTATAGATGACAGTTGCTTTGAGAACCTGCGCGTGTGCTTCTCTCTAGAGTGTGGTGTGGAGGTCTGCATGGTCTTTGGCGCGGCTCCCTCGCAGTCGTTTGCAGTTTTGCATGCATGGTGTTCAACGTGGTCACCCCAAGTTCAGCGGTGTGGTCACCTGCACGGTCTTTGCTGTGGTCGCGTTGTCTGGTTCATCGCCAGGCTTCGGTTAACGCTGTCCGGGCGTTGCAGAAAGGGAAGGACAAGAAGCAAAAGAAAAAGATATCAAAGACTGACACGCTGCAGGAGCAAAGGAAGAATAAGAAAGAGATGGAATTTGAGCTGAAACTGGCCAAAGAAAAAGAGGAAATGTTTGAACGAGAGAAACAGCTAAAAATCAGTAGGCTGGTTCAAGAGGTATGTCTTTGATATGAGTGCCGTGTGCATAGGTCAAGTATGACTGACCCATTACTGCAAAAGAGAATGTTGGCAGGGCCGTCAATACATGTGACAAAAGCCCGTTGGAAGATAAATGGCTGTAGACTTGTCTCAAGACTGGTCATGTGACCCAGGTGTCAGAGACGGAGCGGGAGGATCTGGAAGAGTCGGAGAAAGTGCAGCACTGGGTGGAGAGGTTGTGCCAGACCCGTCTGGAGCAGATCTCCTCGGTGGAGAACGACTCCACCGAGGTAAAGCAGCAGAAAGCAGGACCATTGGCATGGATGTGTGATGTCATTGTTCTAAGAGTGATGTAATATGATGCTGAGCATAAACTGTTGATGAGCTGAAATGTGAAACTTCTGAGCTTATTTTTTCTGTTCTATTATGATGAAATTTTAGGGACCACATATCTATGTTGATACCAGTAAGGAAGGCCTTTTGTGGTTTGCCCATAGCATTTTAATGATGTAAGACTTAAGGTTAGACTCATGAGGAGTATCTAATCTGTGCAGTGTGGTTGGTGGCTGTCGTGTGGAGGTAGCTGATGAAGTGTGCTCACAGGTCGGCCCCACCAGAGCGCCATCTGCCCCCCCCAGTATGCGGCGCTTCCCTGGGGGCCTACAGCTCGCCACCACCGACCTAGATGACATCAACTTAGACGACGTGGATCAGAGCCTAAAGCAGCCCATGAAGAGGCTGAGCCCCTCCCCACCCACCAGCAGACACACCCATCCCCCACCCCCCCTGCCTCTGCCCTCCCCCAGAATGCCCATCACACCCACCCACTCTCCTCCCCCCAGGTT